CCCCCCCCCCCCCCCCCCCCCCCCCCCCCCCCCCCCCCCCCCCCCCCCCCCCCCCCCCCCCCACCGGCCCCCCTGCTTTTGAAAATTTCGTTTTTTTTTGCTCACCAAAACAGAAAAAAAATTTACGGCCCCCCCTGCTCTGAGACCTGACATACGCCCCTGATGAGAGTCTTGTAAGCAATATAGCGATTCTGGATCTCTCCAATAATGGTTATAAAAAAAATGTCGAATCTTATGTTATACTTGATGAATAAGAGTACAACATGAATGTATTCAGACATTTCAGTTTTTAGTTAATAAAAGTACTGATATTTACATATATTAGGCTATGACAGTTTGTTTCTATCTATGTCATTGAGTATTTGTCAACAACAGTATTTAAGTAATATGTAAATATCGAAATATATATATATAGCGTTGTACGTTTGTTTCTTCCGCGTTATTTATCTTGCTAGACCAATATCCACCATGTCAATTCATATTTCAGTTGTAATTTTACTTCTGATTAGTGCGTTTACACCTTACATTTATTCATATTGCATGCAAGGACCAGTTGTAACCAAAACATCTAGTAAATTATCCTTTTTAATTCGTGCATAGTTTTTTCTTCATGTACAAATTTAGAGTTTGGTACTGTTGAAAAATACTGCGAATACGACGATCTCAAAATTTTTATTGGTTCTTCTTTTAAATTAGCTGCACCAAAATGCATGGACTGTAGATGTGAAAAACAGGGTTTGCAGTGTTGTGGTTTTGGTTTTGCAGCAGCTAAACTAGTACCAACTGAAGAATGCGTGGCTCTTAATGATGGATGCAACGTGGTCTTTGTTAAAAAGACGAATGAATCTGAATTGTGCCTTTCAACACACCTGGACAATAAAGGAAAGAAGAATAAGACATATACGAAAGTTTTCCATTGATTGCTGAACTTGAATATTTCAAATACCAATAACGAACAAATAAGTTAAAAGTAAAAATGTGTGTTAAGCCTATTTAGTGTGATGAGAGTATATTGATAAATTCTTTTCAAAGGAATGCATTCAATTTTAAAGTGTTTAATAAATAAATTCTTTTGAAGAAAATCATCAAGAAATGAATTCAATTTTCAAAATTTTTTATTTCATTGCCAACGACTATCACGCTATAAAAGAAGAATATCAAAGACATTGATTCTTGAAATTTTGAAAACAACTAGTGTGCTTCGTTCCAAACATAATCTATCGATAGCTTTTATCTATCTATCTGTAGGCACATAACCTCTCAATAAAAGTAGTCAATAGTATGTTATTTTATTTCTAAGCGATGTTTCTTGCATTAGACAATAAAACATATAAAATGAAACATTCGATACAGTACAGATTAAAATTATGTCTGTTAGAAGCATAATGTAAAAGTCTAATGCAGTACATAACCTGTTTTTGTTTTTATTTTGTTTGATCATTTTATTTTAAAAGCATTTATAAAAACAACGATTTCTATTTTTAGACAGTTTTCTCGTCCATTGACGCTGTCATATCTGTTGGGTACTAAAAAATTAAGAATTTAAAAAGCAACTTTGCCCTACACGACATCTTGTCTTGCCAAATAAGCTAATTCTGGCGTGCACTTAGTGGATATTTCTGTCACACATCATAGTGTAGAGCTAAAAATTCCATCATTCACTACAAATGTTAAGCTACCCCAGTGAGTTTGGCACGAAATCGGTTTTTGATGAGGGAGTTAGAGTTTTAAATAAATTAAGTTCTAAAAATCAGTGTCGATGGCGTCACTACTAATACTCAAGGAACTAAAGTGCGCCTATGTCAAGGCCTTTATTACAACATTAATTATTTTTTCATGTTAATTTTTCGATTTTCTTGCTCAATCAGCGTTAAGTTAATTAATTTTTGCGCTAACTTAGTTAATTGTTCATGTCTTTGCATTCGAAATTCTAAACTTTCCATTAACATAAAATATTGTTTCACGATATTTTCAATAGGCAATGAATTTTGTTCTTGTCGATAATCTCTCGATGGATTATCTATTTCATTTCGATGTTCTTCTCTGTCATACATTGAAATGTCATCATTTTCTTTATTAACTTTTCTATCGTCGCAATATTCTTCTGTTAGTTGTGTTAAATTTTTCACTATGCGTTCTTCATCATTATTATTTTCAGTTTTCGATTGATTGTCATTTTTTCCATCACAATCAAGAGTACTTTGAAAACTATCAACTAAACATGAAAATTATATACTATAGAACAATAAATAAATAGCTTTAAATTTACCAAGTACAGCCATAAGAAGGTTAAGTAAAATAAAATTAATAATAAATATATAAATTAAACAAAAAGCTAATTGGAAATTCGAATAATCACGTTCAGCACATACTTGATATACAGAATACCAATCATCAAGTGTTAATAATGTAAATAGAGAAAAACATGTTTTAACAAGATTGCTGAATTTTTCAGGGCATACATCACCAAATAAACTTCTGGCAATAATTGCTGATATACATGTTATTATAATCATAATAAATATAATACTAGCCATAGCAGGTAATGCTTTTGAGCATGTATTAACAATTATACGAATTGACTGAATGAAACGTATTGTACGAATTACTCGTAATGCTCGAAAACTTCGAAGTACACGTAGAACACGAAGAATTTTAAAAAAATGATTTATTTGTTCAAATTGTGTACTAAATATTTATGTTAAGAAGTCAAAGAAGAAAAGAAATCATATTAACTAACTGTAAATGTTGATTATGATCAATTTGTAATGATGCGCTACTGTGATCATGCGTTAACTCTTGTGTTATAAAGTCAATTATATTTATTATAATAATAAATAGATCAAAACAATTCCATAAAGTTTTAAAAAATCTCCATGAATATACCTAAATAATGAAAATCTTATTATTCGATAGATACGGAATGTTGCATCTACTTTTCCAGTAAAAAACAAAATGTGGCAGACGTCTTAGTCTAGAAAATGTCTACGAATATATTTATTCTAAGTTCGGATCTGATTAAAGCGTTTGAAATATTCTCTGGTCTGACAACGGGGTGTGCGAAAGTTTTGAGACAAAGTGTTTGTTCATTTTTGATCTGCTTGAAATTATTTCCGGCGAATCAAAATCTATGCGCTAGAACCAGAATTTTGTGCTCTTTCGGATTATGGACCTAGAAATTTTGTGTCGGCTTTTGTTCGAAAGTAGTCAGGGAATCTTTAAAAGGTCTTAACAATTAGTTTGGACTCTGAACAAACAGGCTTTGCTAACCCCTATAAGTCCCTTTGCGAATATGCTAAAAATTGTCGGATTTGATAGTTTTGTAAAGTGAACAATTCTCTACAAAATGTGGTATTGAACTAAGCTGTAGCATTTACCCAAGGGAAGCTATACGCATTTTTCCAAGACTTCCTTTCCACTTAAAACGGTTTTGGTCAAAAAACCAATTTTTCAAAACTGGCGATGTAGGGAACATGAAAATTCAGGTGCCTTACCGACAGACAAAAGAAAACTTAAATAGTACATTTTATAGGGTAGATTTTGCTCTGCAAGTTGGTATCATAATAAAGGTTCCAAATTTTAGTTTCGGATCATAATAGTGAAAATATAAAAGTGTGCGGAAAAAATTTCTGTTCAAACTAAGTTTTTGGACCTTTCAAAGATTAACTTACTACTCTCGAACAAAAACTGACACAAAATTTCTAAGTTCATATTCCGAAAGAACATAAAATTCTGGTTCTAACACGTAGAGTTTGACTCGTCAAAAATAATTTCAAGTGAATAAAAAATCAACAAACATTTTGTCTAAAAACTCTCGCCCACCCCGTTATAACCTGTTTATATAGTTGTTTTGCTCATTTGATACGACTTTTAATTTGGAGTCTACTCGATCCCTCATAATGGTAATACTGAAATAGATAATTTTATAATCAACTTGAACAAACGAAATGTGTTAATTCAATTTTAACATCATCCGAAAATACTTGAATTTTACCTACCCATAATTTAAAACAACATTCAATAATATAAATGCATAGATAAATTTTTTCAGATATAAGAAAGAATGAATGAAATTTTTTATAGTAACTATCATATGTTTCTAAAATCATTAGAAATGTATTTGATATAATTACAGCAACCAGAAATAATGTAAAATATTTTGATTCGACTACATGAATTAATTTCGGTGAAGAATACGAATTACGATCGAGAAATCTATGGATTCGTGCCGCCATTTTATTTACTAATGAAATTTTTTCTTTTATGTTAATAGAAGAAAAAACCCAAACAACAACAATAACAACAAGAAGAAAAACAAAGATTCTAGAAAGGTTTAAATTTTCGTTGTTGTCTCATTTGTGTAATACGTTGTTTATCTAATTCAAATTTCATTTTTAATTGATCAAGTTGATCAATTTTTTTATCAGTCATTTGAAATTTATAAAAATTGACTAATTCTTTTTTTTCATTTGATCGTTTAAGCTTTGCTCGTAAACGATTCAAGGTTTTATCTGTTGATGGAATCATGCGTTGACGAGTTTTCTTTAATGAACGTGAAACAACTGTCCAACCGCCATTGTCATCATCGTTGTTATCACTTAAACCATTATTATTATTTTTTTCAGATTGTTCATCAGAGTTGACTTCGTTTTGAGCAAGATATTGACGAGATGCTTGTTCGAGTTGATCAATATCAATTGCGAAACGATCACGATACTCTTTTATCCATTTTGATATACCATGTGAACTTGTTGGAACACTCTTTTCCGTTTTCTTTCTTGTTTTAGAAATTTTCATTTTCATTGTCAAATAATCTGTAAGAATAAAACAAAACAAAAGATAAAATCAATGAAACTTCATCATATCCAGTGAAAAATTATTTTAAAACAGAAACAAAGAATTCGAAGCCTATTCATGAACTTTAAAGAGTTTAATTATTTGTTGTTGATTAAAAGGATTACGACAGATTGGACACGAAGTAACTTGAGCCCCACATTCAAGACACATAGCTGAATGGCCACATGTCGTTACTACCGAATCAATCGGCTTTTCCATGCAAATAACACATTCGTTTGAAGTTTTTGTATTGTCAGCAGATGGTTTTGCTGTACCACACGAACGACATACAGTACGTGAGCCGAAATTTATTTCAGAACATTTACATTTCCAATCACCTGGTTTCGATACTACTGGTGGCGAAGAATGCGAAACTGTGGATACTTGTTTTTGTAGACCACATTTATAACATGCAGTACGAGCAGCAAAATTTAGAATGCTACAAGATTGACATATCCAGTCACCTGGTTTAGATGTAGATTGAGGAGCAATACCAGCAGCAGTCGAATTCACTTGAGCTGGTTGATTACGTGGCGTTGAACAACGACGACAAACATTGCGTGATTTGAAATTTATCTCATGACACTGTTGACAAGGCCAATCCCCAGACTCAAAAACACTACGAGAATAAAAAAAGATAATCAATATTTGTGTTTTTACTATTCCTTTAAAAAAATTATTCTCAAAGTTTAACTAGTAGAATATTTTATCTAATACATTACGTCAAACTTTCGTTTGTAGTCTCTTCTTACAAGTTTCCGTCAATAAAACGAACCATTTAGTAAAAATCAAGCGCAACTCTACTGAGAATGCCATTCACTTACAATCTTCCACTATTTGATGATGCTGCAGCCATATATAAATGTTAAAATGAAGCGCGTTTACTTTTATCCCTGTAAGTCACTTTAACAACGTGCTCGATTGTATTGCACAACAGCGAAGAAAGATAGTATACTGATATGGAAAGAAACGCAAACAGGTTATTTCACAACAGCAAAGAGCATTAAATCAAATGGAAAGACTATTTTAACAAAATATTTTTGCTATTAATCAAAATTTATACTGTCTTTTATTTCTTTAATATTCTTGTTGTGTTCTCAAAAAAATTATCGATACAAATTATATTTTTCAGACGGTTTAACTAATAAAATAATATAGAAAATGGTTATAAATATTGAAATATTATCTCGTGGCGTTAACAGAAAAATGGTATTGATAACTATTCTAAAAAACAAAATAGGCTTTCGGTCGAACCAGTGTCCAGCAGAATTACCTATTTGATTCTTGTGTGACATTTCATTCGGAATCAAAACAGTATTTCCTTAGTATCAAATAAAACATTCATTTTTTCAAAGTTAAAATTAGGCCATCGTAATATACGCATAATTTCAGTACTCCATCATTTGCTTGTCTCATGTAATCAAAGATTTCTAATCATCTACAATATAAAACATTTCAATTATCACGCCATTAAAAAAGCTGAAATTTATTTTGTTGTGTTCTAAATTTGATATTTGATATCTGATACAATATTATTGTTCATCGATTTACAATCTGTCTATAAAAAAAAATAAACTACCTGAGAAAAAATAATTTGATTATTATATGAAAATAAATAAAGAATGAATAAAGATAAATTTCATTTGTTTTTCTAAATCATTTTTGAATTAAAATCCTCCACGTTTTCTTTTAGCAATTGCATTGCGTCGAGCAAAAAATGCTGCTGGTCGCTTTTTCCGTTTAACAAATCGATTGTGATGTCCATTCGCTTTATTGCCTTGTTTATTTATTTTAATGTAACCATCAGAACCAACCGAAAAGTCAGTTTCTTCTTCCTCATCACTTGTAATTAATTTTCGTTTTGACGATGATGAGGAGGACGATATTGCCATCAATGCTTTACGTGCTGTTGCTTCTTGTCGTTGAATTTCATCAAATTCAAGACCAAAACGTTTTGTTATGGCTAATAAACGATGCAGTTCATAACGTTTGTAACGTTCCTCAGTTATTTCATTAACATCTTTAATCATCGCTTCTTTCGTTCGACTAAAGAAATTCAAAATAAATCTTCATCAATAAGGTTTATGGCTATTTTTTTTAGGAAAATAACGTACGGCATTAATTTAACCATTTCTTTAATAGCACGTTCTGGAACAATCATTGCATGTGAAGTATCACCAAATATTGATTTAAGCTCTTTTTTAAGGTCACTTAAACATAGTTCATGTAATTGTTCGATGGGAGTCTGCTGTTTACGTTTTGCATCATTGGTTACATTTGATTGTTCTGTACGTATGGTTAGTTCAATTGGATTCATCAATCGATTTGATAAAACCATGTGAGCTTTAGGACCTAAACGTACATAAGCGACTGAAGCTTCAAACGATTGCTGTTGATGTGTAACAATTTCTTGATGAAGATATCCATCAAGTATCAAACGACACATCAGACGTTCGAGATCTATAAAAGAAAATTTTAAGTTCATATCAGCATAAGAAGAAAAATTAGGATATATAGATAAGAATAATATCAACAGATAGATGTCTATTATAATAAAATATGAAACATCGAATTGATCTTTTTAGTTTCTCGTTGTCAATGAGATGTTTTACTTTGAGCTCAAATACACATCCATGAAATATGTATACACAATTATACGTTCTTCTATAAACTTACCAATTTTACTTAATTGATGACATGAATTATAAGCAGCTAACTTATTATGTCCAGCATCACGAATATTTTTTGTATTTGCACCACGAAGTATTTCCAAAGCATATGGTAATGTTATATTTTTATGTGAAAATTCTGATATCATTTTGATAATATCAATGCTCATTTGTGTACAATCGATTGTTGCTGTTTTTAATACTTGTCGGCAATTATCACACACAGTTCGTTTTATGTGTTTACATTCACTTGATGGAAATAATTCACCAAAATATTCAAGTAATCTAAATGAATTAAAATAAGCAAAAAAAAATTCATTTATTCTGTTTCTCGCGATAGAAATATTTGCTTACTGTGTTCGTCGACAAGTAACATTATTTAAACAATAATCATAAACACGATTGAGAGTATCAATACGAACTTTTTTCGCTTCTTTGGTCGATGTTTGTGAATTATCATCTAAATAAATCGATCATAATAAAATATGCTATCTACATTTAGAATCATCATTTACTTTGAATGAGTCGTTTCATTTTAACGAAATCTTGATAACAAAAAAATAAATAACAATACGATATTTCACCATCACGCCCAGCTCGACCAGATTCTTGATAATATCCCTTGAAAGAAAAGAAAAGAAAAATCGCTACAAAGATATAAATCAAATATTTTTATAACAAACTTCAATTGATTTTGGCATAGAAAGATGAATTACGAAACGAACATTAGGTTTATCAATACCCATACCAAAAGCAATGGTTGCACAAATAACCTAACCAAAATAGAAATTGAATTGATTATTTATCAAATCAATTTCTTATTACTTGACAATTATCGTTAGCCCATTGACTTTGTACATGTTGTCGTTTGGAATCAGACAGACCAGCATGATAAGATGCTGCATTGATTTTATATGCTGATAAATATTTTGCTGACGGAAACAAAACATTTTTATTGAAAAATAGAAAATAATAAGACTTTGAAATACCTGTTTTATCACATTCAGCACGTGAAAAACAATAAACAATACCACATTTATCTGAATAATGAGAAGTAATTAGATTGGCTGCTTTTTTTAATGCTGTATCTGTTGTGCCTTTCAATGTACATTCGTAGATTAAATTCGATCGATTAAATGATTGTATGAATAATTTACACTTATTAATATCAATATGCATTTGTTGTAAAATATCTTTTTGTACACGTGGTGTAGCTGTAGCGGTTAATAAAATTACATTTACACCTGGATATTTAACACGTAGTTGACCTATTATATGGAATATTAATTAGTTTATAGGATAGCAGCGACTGTCCATGACAGAGCTGAGGAAATAAGTTTCTGGCAGTATCTATTGTTTGTGTGTCTCATATGATAAAATATAGCTTTAGTATTTTATTTATCCATCCATAAATCTTAAACATGTTAATCATTATCGTCAAAGTTTAAAATCATACTACAAACTTAGGAGCAACTATTGAGATTCTCTAAGCTAGACATAGACGTTAAAATGCGACAGCTAATAAATAAGAGATCGACGCAAAGTTACAGGTCTATCTTTCTTTTTGCACACATCAATGCTGAAGACCTTTAATGATATGAAAAGTTTCTGTGTGTTAGATTTTCAACTCGAAAGAAGTATTTACCAAGATTTGCATAATCCGGACGAAAGTCATGACCTACAAACAATAATAAAAGTATAGATTCGAATACAAAAAAAATAAAAAAACATACCCCATTCGGATACACAATGACATTCATCGATAACAAATCTAGCTAAAAGCTTTCGTTCATATAAATCTTTTAACAGTTGAGCTAATTGATCCTAGATATCAAAATAAAAATTTTCTATACTAAATACTAAGTAGTATTTCTTACACTTTTAGCCACTTTTTCAGGTGTGATATAAACAATTTTCAATCCAGGTGTATGCTTATAAAGTTCTCGATAAACTTCATCTGCTTCTCTTTGTGACACATCACTTGTTAAAGCTCCACAATGTATACCCAATGATGTTAATTTTTGTTTTTGATCAAATATAAGTGATCGTAATGGTGATATAACAAATGTGACACCACTATCCAACACAGCTGGTAGTTGATAGCATAATGATTTTCCGCCGCCTAAAATCAACATGTGTATTTCGTATTAATCATTTTTCTCTTTCTCTCACTAACCAGTTGGCATAAGTACGAAACAATCATGTTTTAATATTGCAGCATTTACTGCTTCTAATTGATTTGAACGAAACTAAATAAAATATTTTTTTTTATTAATAAAAACAAAAAAGTTGTTTCGAAATAGTTCTTACTTGTTTTAAACCAAATACACTATGAAATACCCTTAACATGTCATTGGTATGACTATATGTATGATCACTTGAAAATTCAGCTGCATCATCTTTTATTTCAGATAACCATTGAACTTTATATGACTGTTGGCTAGCATTGATTTGATTTTCATCTTCACTATCACTCTCTTCAGTTTCATCATCATAGATTGAATTCGTAAAATCCATATCGATTTGTTTACTATCATTTTGTGTCACAGATTCTTGTTCATCCCATTCGTTAAATAATTCATCTTGATCAAAATCATCGAAATCATCGTTTGTAGTTGTTTTTTTAGATAGTGAACTTTCTTTTTTTAAATTTTGACATTGAATACAACCATTTTGATTATTTTTCTTTATAAAACAGTTTAAACACATTGTATGACCGCAAGAATCTTCGCTGATGGGTCGACGAGCTATTGGATCATATGATTGTGAACATAATGGACATGTTGATGAAGATGATGCTTCCGATAATTTTGAGATAGTGGGCGATGTCTTTACTAATTGTAGCTTATTTGACGATTGAGTTTTGTTGAGAGAAGGAGATTTTGTATTTGATTCAGATTTATTTACAAGAAAAGATGATATTGATGATTGTGTTTTTTTAATATTTGATGGTGGTTCAATTTTGGGTGTTGGTCTTTTAGAATTCTAAACATGAATAATTTGATTTCAATTGAACTTTGATTAGATATTATCTAGTAATCTTCTATGAATGTGTTTTTTTTTCATTTCATGCAACTGGCAATACTGAACGTAGAAATAACTCATCCTGTGCGCTTATTTAAATCACTCGAAGACTTGATTCGAAAACACATACTTACATCGAGACTTAATGACAATTTCGATAAATCTCGACTAGGTGTAATAACAGTTGGTGCTCGTGAAGACAAGTCAAATGTATTAGTATTGGAAACATTTGTTGATAGTTTTAATTGGACTTGTGATGGCGATGGACAAGGAAGATCAAGTAGCTTCACCGCTAGCGATTTTCGAACAGGTATAACATCAGTATTAACACGAAATACTGGTCTATATAATTTTGAAAATCAAAATCTTAAAAATAGTATTTCTTATAAAATTTAACTTACGTTGGCAAAGGATTTGGTTTAACTACTTTTGTTTGAACATGTTTTGAATAGTCATAAAAAATTTTCAATTGTTCTGATAAATTATTTTTAATTCGAGACGTCCGATCAATCATAATAACAATTAATTCAAGTTTAATAAGAGAACTACTTTTCTCTCTAAATATACACACATTTTAACTTAACGGCTTTACATTTGTTCGGTATATAGTCGAACCAATCAAAATATGTTATCTCTAGAACTAGATGACGCTGTCTATCAGTGACTAGATGTCATTAACATGTTTGTTTGATTCATCCCATCATCAACGCATCTATTTTGTTTATTTATTTCATTTCATTATATTTGTCGTTTTTTGTGGCTGAGCTTGGAAGAAAAAAATTCTTTTTTTTTCTCATGACTTCATCATCGCCATCATTGTGTCAACAACTACAATGTGATGCATTTCAATTTACTATTTGTCGTCATTGCCAATTATTTTTATGCATAAAACATTTAGCTGAGCATCAACAACAATTTCCAACTGATTTTCAACGTTTATTAGATGATGCACGAAGACAACAAGCACAATTGTCAACATTTGACACAAGAATATCTGAACAACGTTTAAAATTGAATCAAACTCATGATATTGATACGACACAAACGCGACAAATAAATACATTTTTACAATCAAGGACAATTCAAGATGGTAATCGTTCATGTTTAAGTCAATTTCAAGCTGCAACTTCATTTTTACCGGTAACGGATAAACTAGAACAATTCATCAGTGATAGTGATTCAACAATGAATGTAATTAATACACAATTTGATGAAGATAGTTTATTTGCTTCATTTGGAGGTTTGTTTTTTTTCTTTTACTATGAAAATTTATTTTCCACTATATTTTTTCTTCTTCTTTATAATCAGATCCAACATCAGATCTATTATTTACATCTGATTATAGTTAAGAGATTTTTGAAAAAATGATTTAATTGTATTTTTTCTGAAAATTTAGATTCATCTGATATGTTCAATAAATTATCTCGCTTTCCAGTAACGAATATCAAACAAGATCAAAGTAAATAACAAAAAAGAACTCGTTAAACTACTTAAGTTTTTTGAGATACTAATCCATGATATAGATTAAAACCAAGAATATTATTGGTTTCATGGAACAGTTCAGAGAACACATTATCAATTGTTAAAAACAATTTTCTGAAGAATGCATCTAAAAAGAACTCTTTTAAACATCGAGTTCTTGGAAATGAGCTAATTACAAAAAAAAATTTCTGTTTTGTGTAGCTACGTTTCAGTAACAGAACAGATGCTATTGTTTTTATCTGCAATTATTTATCTTCTAAATAAATTAAAAAAATACATACGCTTCCTAGCGATCAATTTCCACAAGAGAGTATGTTCAATAATTTCTCAGATTTAACGTAGAATTTGTAAATCTCTAATTAAGTTAGATTGATGTTTCTCGGGAGGCACAAGCTCACAATACCTTTGGATTAGTAGTTTTCTAAATGAACATGTTGATTTTTGCTGGCAAGATACTTAAAACATCGTTACAAATATTTTGAAGTGTAAGTCAATTTTAAAATGAATTAACCAATACAATATAATTATTAACGTAATAAGTCGAAATACTCTATTTCTAATCGCAGCTTATAGAAATCATATTTCCAAGATTGCTCCCCTTGTTACATCCTTGTTTGAAAATTCTACATATATTCTTGCTTGAGTTACAGTAAAATAAAAGAAAAAACTAGTTTCATTTTACGATAACAATAGTAAAATATTTCATCTTCATACATTTAGATACTTCTTCCGATGTAAATCATAATATTTCTTCGTCGAGTAAGCAGCATGATCAAATTTTTAAGTTTCATATCTTAATTTAATTTCTAGATATGAAAAAAATTGATGCTGATGATGGAATTTCTGAAACGTAAATAGCTACATTTTTATCTCGATACTTTTTATTCTATCTCTATTCATCATTTTAGCGATGCGAATCAAACTCATAATTCTTTAACAGTAATAATAATTAATTTCTCTTCTTAACCATTAAATATGTCTTCAATTGCAGGTACGAGAATTAAAAACCTATAAATGTGATTATTGTCCATTATCAACAAATACTTATGGTATCGAATCACATCATCAAGTTCGTTATATTCCATGTATTCGTCGATCGACATCTCAAATATCGCTATTTGAACATCTTAAACAATATCATTATTTAAATTATGCGGCCTCAATGCAAATTGTACGTTTAGTATCATCCGGCGATCTCGACGATCATCCAACATTATTTTCTTCAGCAAGTCAATCATCGATTGTTTCAATTCTTCCATCATTTTTTCGTGCACCATGTCCACTAACACAGCATAATGTGTTTGGCCTTGGACCCGTACATGGTATACGTCTATGTTCACCTGCAGCTGAACAACAAGATTTTGCGTTATATGATCACTTTCTTGCATATCATCAATTAAATCGTGCAAGCGCCATGAAACTAGTGAAAGCTATGATGAAAAATGAAAATAGTAGCCAAAGAATACTATTTCGACCTGATGAACAAGTTTTAAACCAAACAGCATACGTAACATGTCCTCTAAGTAGTTACGATGCTATTTTACCTCATCAAGAACGTATACCACATACACCGTGTCAATCGACGGTTAAGTTACGTTATTTAACTGGACACCTACGTGATGTACATCATTTAAATAAAATTGCTGCCAAACGAATTGCATCAGCATTACGTCATGAACAGGCAAATAATAATGAAAGATCTATTGGACTCTTTGAAAGAGATGAAAATATTTTTAAAGCCAAAAAGAAGAAGGTATCATAGAGATTTATTATATAAAACACGGAAAAGGACTTTATTAGCATGATTACAGGCAAAAGTCATATTACTATCATTATCATTCACTATTTCCTAACTCTTTCGAGACGCTAAAATTAGCATATTTTTCTTATAGAGAATAATATATACTTTAGAAGCCAACTGGTTTTTGTTTTGACGATGATTATCTACTGAAATATTTCATGTATAAACAAATACTATTTGAAAATTAAGCATACTCAAGTCTTGCGTCAGATGCAATTGATTAAATCACAGTGCTTTTTCTCTGATATATTTTTAAATATCATTAACTATTCCGTATTTTTTACTGATAAAGAAGTATAATCCCTTAGTTTTCGAAAAAAACCTGTTGCCTAGTTTTGCATGTTCGTGAGATCTTCAAATCTTTGTAAACATAGAAAAAGTCTAAAAAAAATTTTCATACTCTACTATGAGATGTTACGATAACTGCTTCAATTGTCCTCTTTTTTTACTTCAAAATATTAAGAAAGTAAATTCTGATCCTCCTGTAGAACAAGAGTTACTTACCATAGAAAATAAATTTCAAACTAATTCGAGAATTCTTTTGTTCTTTTTATTAGAATGCAACGCGTTTTCGACCTCCAACTCAATTAGCAAAACATGTTCAACCAAATACCAATCATCAGGAACAGCCCCCTCCACCGCTTTGGTGATCATAATGAAAAAAAAGCATAGATATTTTCATGTCGAATAAAAATTTGCGCTTGTGTTTTGAATTTTTCTTTCTTTTATGGCTTCTTATACCAGTAATCTTGTCTGCTCTTTTCTTTTCTTTTTTGTTGTACATAAGAGATTTTCTTCCTTTGACTATCGAAATTTTCTGTTGGTTTTTCATTTGTTCGTTGGATTTATGTGTGCAAGCAGTTTCTTTCCTTTGTTTACTGTCAATTCGTTTAATGACTGCATGTGTGTATGTGTGTGTGCATTTGTTTCTGATTGTCATTGTTTAATATAGACTATCAAGAATATAAGACAATAATATGAATTTTATTTGAAATTCAATAGAATAATATGCTTATGATTTATTTGTTTTTATAGAATATTATTTTGTCAATGACATTAAGAATAAAACTTGGTGAGCTGAAATTATCAATTTTATTGCGTAAGCATCGAACTAATATCTTTTTGCACTGCGAGTCAATTTCTTTTGCAATAATTTGAAAAGTGATTTTAAGAGGATTGTAATGTTGTTAAATAAAATGAACATACATTTCGAATGCTTGAAGTATATTTTTCATTGAACTTTTAAATCCTAAAAATCGTCACCATTGAATTTTGAATCAAACTAAAAATGTACTTTTAAGAGTATTACTCATCGTATCGTATCAATGCTAATTGAAAACAATACAATTGATCACGACAAAGAAAAAGCACTGATGCTGATTAGTATCACATAAAACGAGATTCTCATACTTCTTCTCGTTGTAATACATACTAATTAGCATGTTTCATCTAAATTTATCACTGGGTTGGATACTCCTTGATTTTCTCTAGGAATCTGATAGGATATTATAGAACGTGAAATCTTTGTATATGATGAAAAAAGAATTGAAAATTAAAACTTTTTTAATAATGTATGATGAAAGTATTTTAACGAGGAACATTTGTAAAAAAAAATTAATTGTCAAAGTTCTAAATAAAAACTAACCTTTTATTTTCACTAGTCCACATACATGATAAAATAAGCATCGGAACATGTAGTTTAAATCCATGAATACTCAATTTGCATCTTTCTTTTTCTTACTCTGTATGCCTTTAATACTAATCAACTATGATTCTCCAAGCACGTGCTGAGAAACATTAGTCAAAGTGTGACTTTTTATACGCATGCCTCTTTTATTATATCATGGAATACTTACCTTGAATTATTTTTTTCTTTCATTTCAACTCTTCTTTCATACGATTCCCTTCATCGATATGTTACGCTGCAGAACTTCTTGAAGTACCGGCTTAGATTTTTCTGTCTAATATTATCTAATAAATACATTTCAGATAAATATCTTCGATTTATATGCTGGAATTGCTATATCGTGGGACAAATTTAATTATCTTTTATTAGTTAATAGTAAGTGACCAGCGACGTACACAGTACTTCATATTTTCTTTCCGTTAGTAGGTAAATTTAAAAAAAAATGTGTATACATATGTTCTATAGCACAACGAAATGTAATAATGAAATATGAGCGACTATCGGCATCTATTCGACATGATAAGTCATTTGATACCAAGATAAACTTAAAAGAATTCAATTGTATGATGTACTACTAATGATTTTTCTCTGTTTTATGGAATTATTTTTGAGTGCGAGTACGACATGTCGAAAAATATGAAAATCAAGAATTTTATCCTTAAATGTTACCTTGCGATAGAACTAATAAACATTGAGAAGTTTCGGCAACTTCAAGAAAAATGAACATGCCATTCTTGATGTTATGTATCTATTTTATGAGTTTTACTATAGCGTCCTTCAGTGCTAAGGTACTATTTCTTCAATTTTGAATATCCTGATAGAGACATATTTGCTTAGTTTAAAACTGTCAATATTTATTTATGATCGCCAGTTCTATCTAAAGGCAACATGCCATCATGAATGAAATGCTGCATTATGATTCATTAGTAGGTGATGAACTTGAGTCCTCAAATTGCTTTTTTTTGAGCTCACAGCGATTTTCATTGTAATTCTTATACAGAATCTAAATGGTGCCTGGCAGACGTGGAAGTGCCCTTACTTGGTACATGCGTGTAGTAACAATAGCGATAAAAATTTTAATATATATTAAAAAAGAAAGTAAGCAATCGTTGTGCAAAGCCTTTCATAACACAATAATTAAAATTAAAAACAGGGAAAAACTAAAAACCAAGCAAATATTTAATCAAGAAATGAGATATTCTATGCAAAGCCATTCATATAGTTTTATACAAAAAAAAATCGTGAATTTATTAGAAAAAACTCATAGACAATAAGCCTTATCTAAATTATTGAATTCTTATGCTTTTGTGAAAACAATTAGTTTAATCGTTAATGCATCTCTATATTATAATAGTGTCGATTAAACTAATTAGTATAGCAATTCATCGAGAAAAGACCATTTTTATGGTTCAAGAGAACAACAATGAAATATCTTAATGCAAGGATAGCAATGAGCAATTATTTATTTATTTTTCCACAAGAAAAATAAAGTGAACGTTTACCGACATTTTGTTTTCGTGTAGATTTCATCAGCACAATAAATTAAACTGCAGTTAATAAACTTTAATACGTAAAAATACATTTTAGTTTTGGATCAAAGTGAATTTTTCTTCTTAGAATGACGCCTGATCCACCCGATGATGATAAATGTCAAGTATCCATGTGTCATCAAACACATTTTACTTATTGCCCACATTGTAAATTATTTGTATGCATAGAACATCTTAATGAACATTATTCAAATTACAGACAGGAATACCAATTATTATTAAATGATGGAAAACAACAGCAGATATTAAATAAACAGTTTATAGATGAGCTTGAAAACGAAAAAAGCAAATTAATCAATTTTTTTGATAGTGAAAAAAGATACTATGATATGAATGATAAATATTTTCATGATAAAACAGTACAAATAACAGTACGACCACAAGATTGCGCAGATTTACGTTTGCATATCTTACAATCATCAGAAAAAAGATTAAAATTTAAGAAATTTATGCATCAAATAGAACAGCTGATTAATGACTACGAATATCATCAACCAAGTGGAATTAGCGATGGTAAAAACAAAGAGTTTCTCTAATGAATCAAAAATTTACTTTTTCTTTATTCGATTTAATTTACTTTTAGAAACTTCTAGTTCATTAATGCAAGTTAAGAGTGAAGAAATAATTCCTAGGCCTGAAAGTATGTATTTGATATAATCGAAAATAATTTTAATATCTTTTTTTGCTTGATTTTTAGTAAATAAATCATCACCATTAGCACAATTTTCTATTGATTATGAAGAAATCGATGATGATGAACAACAACAGCAGACTACTCATGATCATGCTGCGAATAATAAACAGGAGATATCCAAGTAAATATTTTCCTATGATTGATAGAATAATATTAGTAGAAATCCGTTTTCTTTGAGTGAGATTCGAATTTTAAATTTTATCTTACATATTAGATAAGGTATTTACAGGAAAACTGAATGCTCTTCAAAATTTTAGTGAATAAAAATGACATCCTTACTAGAGCTATTACGCATGTTGTCTTATAAAAGATAAAATATTATAATAAACAAGAAGATCTTTGCCAGTATGTTGTTAATAGATTGGAAATCAGTACGTATATGTTAATAAAGCGAGCACATCCATGTAGAAAGGATTAATATTGACCTTGTGAACATATAAATTGGCTTTTATTTCTGTTTTTTTTCATAGTACCAAATTCGCCTTGAAAATTTGTTGTGTCAATAGCCATAAATATTTAGATTTTCATCATGCGAAGACTAACTAGGGAAGATATCGACAAATATGATTAGTCATTTAAATATCATGGCCTATTTTCAGTCACTTGAATGACCGTTTTGAATAAATCTTTGGAATTTTCGTTAGATAATTTCATGTATGTTTTATTAGCATTCCAAATGGTACAAATTTCAGTGCAACCAAGGAGGTTAAAAAAGGTTTGACTATATCAAGCAACAAAGATGTTCCTGATGAATCTATTCATTCAGGTAAATACAAATAATTTAAAAACTACAACGCAAATATCGATTTTCTCGTTTTTTCTTCTAAAATTTAGATGAAGATATTGTTGAAGAAGATGAGGGTGACAATGATAATCTTGGTTCTGATCCAGATTTCGGTAATGAACATCGATCAATTAATATAAAGTAAATTTTTGCGCTATTTGTTTTCTAAATGTAAAAAATATTTCTGTTCCATTGTTGTCTATTTAAGTGGACGTCGGAAAAAAGATAATTCATCAACGGTAAAATTCATTTTTTTTTGAAAATTTCCTTTTAAGTTTTAATATTAAAAATTTTCATTAAAATACAGAGACCAATTGTAAATCATTTTCAAGTGAGCCTATGTCCGTTAGCAAATAAATTGTATGGCATAGATTTGAATAAGCATCCATTACGACATGTACCATGCACACGTAACAATATATCATCAATTTATTTATTTACACATTTACGTGTTTTCCATTGTCTAAGTTCAAAAGCTTCATGTATGTTTTAAAAGAAAAAATTCTATCTCAAGCAAAATATCATCTATTTATTTTTCTTAGTGCGTCTTGTGCGTCATATAATGTATCATGGTTGTGAACATAACTATGATCTTTTTTCCCAATCGAGAGAATCACTTGTGAATATTTTACCAAAATCTTATCGTGGTAGTTGTCCGTTAACAAAATTAGGAGCATTTGGTCTCAATAAATATCATGATATAAGATTATGTGATGAAACTCAAACAAATGAAAATACGGGTCTATTAAATCATTTAGTTGTTTATCATTGTCTTTCATATCCATGGGCTAATAAATTATGTAATGCAGTTCAAGCAGGCGACTCTGATGGTAGTAAACAAATCTTATTTAAACCAAATGAACCAATAAAAGCTAAAAAATGGTTAACAACACAGGGAAAACTAATTCTTGCTAAACGTTATTCAACAATACAAAAACGAAAAAAATTAATAGCTAAAAAAAGGAAAAAATAAATTGTATATTTATGAATCTATTTTTTATATTACCGAGTTTATTGTTTTATTCATGTATACCGCTATAAGTATTTTTTTATGAAAATAATTTGAAATGTTGTAGTACTATTTATTATTGTAGCATCAGATATATATTTTATGTTTTTTGCTTGTTGATGTATTTTTTTAATTTCAATTACAGATACTTCTTTTTTTTTCAATCATGCTATTTGTAAACGATCCCCAAGTCAATGATTCCGGAGGACGGATACCGTAGGAACCGGCCGGAAAGCACGAGAAAGCGCTCGAAAGTGGAAGCAATATTCCGGTTGGAAGTTACCGGACTTTTTCCTGTGCATTCCGGCTGAAAGTTAACCGGGATCCGCAGGAAAAAAATCGGTAATTTCCGGCCGGAATATTGCTTCCACTTTCCGGCGCTTTCCCGTGCTTTCCGGCTGTTTCCCGCCGTGCTTCCATGACCTGGGATATCCTTCGCAAACATAAAATATACGATACAAAGATGTTCTTTTTTCAGATTTTCACGTTCGCAAAAAGTTTGCAATTTAATGGATATTTAATGTAATCGATATTTTGCTACTGTAAATCGATTTCATCGGTTATGTGTATCATATTGAAAAGCTATTAAAAACTCATTAATGGCAGCTAATTGTGTCATACGCAAAAGTAATATTGTGCGATATCTTTCTTACTATGGCAAACAAGCTATTATCATGTCTAGAGTTTTTCTATTAAAATCTTCTTAGTATGAGTAGCTCTTCAGAATACTTGACATGGTCATGATTCGTTTATGCGTAGAATTTTTATTTCAATTTATTGAAAACCTCATCAAAATGCAATCATAAACGACAACCATTTGTAACATACCATTTTAGCATTGGACTGATTCATTAATAGTAACACAAAAGTCATCACACCCTTTAGATCAATCGATTCAACATTGAGATTTGAAAACTACTGGTTTGAATCGATAATAACAAGCTTTATCGTCAAGTTGTTTACAAAAAAATTCAGTAGTAAAAGTTCTATTAATATACCTGGAAGTGTTGGCACAAAATTGTGTTCATTTATCCCAGGCTTACCTTGTACTAAGTAAGTTTAGAGATTTTTTCATATGGATCTACACTGCACGAATTCCTCGTTCGAATAAGATTATTTCTTAGTCAGTTCAAAAAAGGTTTAGATTGAGACTATTGTCAAACTAGAGTCGTACAGTTCCGATTGAAGATTGACTGAAGTAATACTCTTATAAATTAATTTTTGAATACATTGAAATATCTCTCTTATGAAGCATATAGTATAGATCAAACAATTTACAGTCTAGTTGGATACTGGCATCGATACCATTATCGGGAAATATAGAATAGATAGATTCACGTTCTGATCCATGACTGTCCTTTTGTCTTCATAATAGTCAATAATCCAAAACAATATTCTCAATAAAAAAAAAACAGCAATGAAATAGATGTATAATATATTCATTTCTTTCGTCATTATGACTTCGCTTTTGTTCGAATACGTTGATCTTGCATTAGATAGATCTATTGCAAGATGCATATTTTTCGAGCTCTACTCTCTTATTTATTATTCTTGGTTACGAAGTTCTCTGTACATAAAAAAGCATATATGCATTTTTAGTAACAACATTGTTACCACTGCTGAGTTGTCTCACCATATCATCGTCAAATGAATACCAATTTCCATCTTGAGGGTTTTTTGAGTATGCTGTATAATGCCCACTCACGAGACCACCTGTATGATTGGAAACAGCAACTAAGTCATATTTTGTCCATAGATTATTTTCAGGTATATCACTATTGTCTTTTACTATGTACTTATCAAGATCAAGGTCATACAGTGGAAATGAAATATATGTATCAATTTTCTGATTTGAATTAACGTCATAGGTAAACCTTTTCAATTGTATAATGAGCACATGTGGTAATGGTAAACATAAATCGGATTTGTGTCGAGCTACCGTAAGCTTTGAACACTTTTCACAGTGGTAATCACCATCAAGATAGTCTTCACGAAAAAAATCGGTTAATAAATTGGCTAATCTTAAGTTGTCATTTGAATGATTGATACAGTAATGTTGTTTATAGATATCAACCCACTTCGTAGCCATTTCGATATGAACACCGGTTATGTGCGGCAAATCTGTATCTGAATTTGTTGTGATACTTAACTTGGATAGCTTTCGTTTTCGATTCCACCAATATACATCACATGCAGACATCGGTGCATTTGTTATTGAACAAAGATGGCCAAGGATTTGATCGATCTGTTCTGATATATGTAGATAACTACAGTTCTCATCTGGACATATTAGAAGAATCGGCGGACGAAACTCTTTATTAGTAGAATGATGTATAAAATGACACCAAATATGCAGTTCATGAGTAGTCGCCTCAGGACATTCTACCAAAGCAAATTCTGCTTCAGGGATATAACGAAGAGATCGTCCACTGTCATACACAGTTTCAACAGAATGATTGAGTAATTGAACAGCTTGAATTCGTTTTCTAGTTAATTTTGGTTCATGTTGTTTAAGAAAGCAATCGACTAATTCACCAACCGTAACGACTGATGAGTCGACTTCGAGGGAGACTAAACGTTGTTCACCATCAGCTTTAATATAAAGAACAGATCGTTGATGAAAATTCGTAATAGGTAACGGTAGAAAAGTAAAAGGTTCATTATTAGTCTCCATCTGCTCACACCCCAAACATTTAACAGTTGATCGAATTTGACCATAGAATATATTGGTAATAATTGTGTTTTTCATGGAAAGCTCAGCATGAATAAGATGTAAAAAATGATTCATAAATTCTTGTGCATCTTGTTGTCGATAAGCCCCATAACTTGGTAAACTATCTTGAATATTGTAAAGAAGTGATGATGGTTTGATAGCATCATACTTTCTTGAGCACATTTTTTTAATTAAATTTTTATATTCACAAATTATGGGTGCATCTAGCTCGTCATCTAATTCTAAAATGCTTTGCGTGAACTTGGGTATATTATTTAAACACTGAAAAACACTATTCATAAAACATGTATTACCTAAATTAATGAGTCCACATAAGCCAACTGGAGTTTTTGAATTAGATGCTACTTCATCATAATCTATACTAATGTATTGACATGATTCGAAACACAAATCACGTAAAATCCTGTTATCAATGTCAGAATCAAATTTCATCCAAGTATCTTGATTCCATTTATAGATGGGTCGATTATGCGGTGACTTATTGAGTTTTGCATAGGCTTCTTTTCTTAAATCTCCAAGAGTGGACAAATATTCAACTGTTAAAATTTCAAAATCTGCCTTATCCATTGGCTTCTTACAAAGTTTCAAACGCAAGTCATGATTCTCATAGGAAGCAAAAGTTGATATTGGAAGAGTTCGACCGTTTGCTACCTTTTGAGTACTATAATCGATGTTTAATAAAGAGTTATTACGTAAGTCTAGTTGATTTATCGTGACGGAAGAATTTGATTCGTCAATCATTTCCCATTGTTTCATCTTTTCGTCATACAGTTCCAAAAAGCAGTCTTTCAGCGGCACATCGATTGGAAAATAGTTTGCTATTTTCTCTTTTAATGTTGTAATCGTATCAGATAGCCAAACATCTATATAACCATAATTGGTTTGACTTCGCTTCGTTTTAGATATCTTTAATTTAAGAAGGCCTTTTTGAGATAAGAGTTTTGACTTGGTTTCTTCTTTCTCAATTGCTAAACTTATAAATTGCCCTGATTCAAAAGATAAATCACGTAAAGTCTTTTTATCCATGTCGAAATCAAACATCTCCCAACTATTATTATTCCATTTATAGATCAATCGATTTTGCGGTGACTTATTTAGTTTTGCACAGACTTCTTCTCGTAACTCTTCAAGTTTGGCAAAAGATTCAATATCCAAATGTATATAATCTGTCTTATCCATTGGCTTCTGACAAAGCTTTAACCATAAGTAGTGACTTTCGTAGGAAAATGAAGTTGATTCTGAAAGAGCTTCGCCGTTTGGCGCCTTTCGAGTACGATATTCGACGCTTAATAAAGAACCATTACGTAGTTTCAGTTGATTAATCGTGAGGGAAGAATTTGATTCGCCAATCATTGCCCATTGTTTCGTGTTTTCGTCATAGAGTTCCAAGAAGAAATCTTTCAGCGGCAAACTAATCAAAAACTTACTTACTATTCTCTTCTTCAATTGTTCTAAAGTATCAGATGACCAAATCTCCAGATAGTCATGATTTGCTTGACTTTGTTTGCCTCTGCATATGTTTAATTTAAGAAGATCTGTTCGAGATGGGAGGTTTGAGTTGGTTTCTTCTTTCTCAGTTACTACACTTATGAATTGGTTCGATTTAAGAGATAAATCAGCTAAAGTTTTCGAATTCATAGCAATTGGTAACTCTGTCCAACCGTCTGGATCCCTTTTAAAGAGGGACCGATTATTAGGTCGCTCGTTGAACTTTTCATAGGCTTGTGTTCGTAATTCTTGAAGAGTGGACAAACGATTAATATTTATCGGTATATAATTTTCTCTACTAATCGGTTTTTTACAAAGTTTTAATGTTAATTCATCACTTTCTTTGATATAAGAACTTGGTTTCCTAGAACTTTGATCGTTCAACGACTTTTCAGTCCTTTTTTTGATAGTTAAGAAGGAGCGATCACGTAGTTTAGCTTCGCGAACAGTGAGGGAGGAATTCGAATCATCAATATTTTCCCACTTGTCGCGTATTTCGTCAGACGCTTCCAAGAAGAAATTTTTCAGTGACAACTTAATATTTAACTTGCGAGCTACTTCCTCTTTTAATTCTAATATAGTGTCAGATGACCACAATTCCAAAATCTCGTAAGCCATTTTGTTGCGCTCATATTTACATACTTTAAATGTAACAATTTCTCTTTTACGTGGAACCGCCGATGACAATGGGCGAAGGCTTCTACTACCATTCATTAAGTGAGGTTTTTGGGATTTGAATTGGAGCTGGTTACATAATGAATATACATAAATTGAAATGTTAAGTAAGTATTGAGGAATTTTTTGTGTTTCTAAAACCTATTAATAAATTTATCTGAAAAACATAGAAAATTTGTTTTGTGTGTTTGTAACCAATTAATAGTTTATTAAGATATAGAACTATTCGAATCATCTGACTTTAAATATACAAGTACGTAAGCATTACTTGTAATAATAGCGTTCTGATTAATTTCATTGACACGATTATCATTAAATTCATACCATTGATGTCTCAAGGCATTCTTGGCTACGGTTGTATAATGTCCACAAGATAAACTTCCGACGTGACAAGATGCAGCACATAATTTATATCTATCATTATTCGATATCAAGTTCTTATATTCAAGTTTGTAACGAACGAATGTATCTATTTTTTGAAAAGTATGATCGAATGGAAATCGTTTTAATTGTATAACAAGAACACGAGGTAACGGTAAACATATAAGTGTCTTTTGCTTAGCTTGAACATATTGTTTACATGAATTGCAATAGTATAATCCATCTAAATTTTCTTCTAAACAAAAATCTTGGATTAAATTTTCCAGTAAAATTTCATTATTAAATAAATTGCGTTTTGGTAATGGAAGTGGAAGTGGAAGAAATGTTGTAATTTCGTCAGTCATATCGATGAAATTACATCCTGTGCATGTTACCTGTGATTTCGTATGAATATGGAAAAGATCAGCAATAATAGATATTGATTTTGTTCTTTCAAGAGCATTCAAAAGAGAATTCAGAAACTCATGTGAATCTCTCTGTGCATGTCCAATAAATATCGGAGCAGAACGACTAACTATTTCTTTAATATCTCGAGGATTAACAGTAGTATTTTCACCAGACCATATTGATTGTATTAGAGAAGTATATATAGCAATAATATCTTCATTTTCTCTTGTTGAGTGCTGTTTTTGATTGAGAGCCCATTGAGTTAGTTCAGGAATATTACTCAAACATTGAAGAGCACTATTCATGTAACATGTATTACCAATGTTAATCAAACCACACAAGCCAGGAGTTGGACATGTTGATTGAGTTGTATTTTTTGATGTTGAAATCTTTTCATCTGAAGAACTTTGACCTGTATTGTTGACGTTCGGTAGTATGAGTTTTTCCAGTTCATTTACTGCATTTACAGTCGTCATTTGTTTTTCGGCGAAATGAAAGTCTTTGATTGTTTGACTATTATTAGTTGATTTTCTTTCCTTTGGTATTGGTAAATGGTCTACTTTTGATTTTGACGAAACTATTGTTCTTGGTTTGATCGGAGGTGAAATTTGTTTATAAAAACCTGAAATATTCTTCTTTGTTTACTATATTCCTTAAGTAGTACTGTATAATGTATATCTACCTGGAATAGTTTCAGTAGTACTTCTTGGTGATACAGTCATTTCTGTAGTATTTACACTGGCAGAATGTTTGTTTCTTGGCAAAATAAATAAAGAAGATACTTTTTGACGAGAAGCATTACTTTTTCGATTGAGTTTCGGTAAAGACGGTGCGCCTAGTTGTTTTGATTTATCATCGAGATTCACTGAAGCACTACGTCGTTTTGACAGGATTGTATTTTTTGTAGGAAAATAATTCATTTTTTCTGAAAAATAAAAGTGATTAAAATTTAACATCAGCGTATCTTCAAATAATGAAAATTATGATGTTATTGAATCGTATTTCAGGTTCATAATATTATTTCCTACCTTTTATGTGGTTTTATTTAGAAAAATTTGCATAGATAGAAATGACATGTATGTTGTTAAAATTAATGAAAAAATAAATGGATTTTTATTACAAATTACATTTCGATTTATAAATATTTTTATCGTACTGCCTGTGTGAATTTTATGATAATATTTCAAGCTAGGAAGAAGCGCAAAAAAAATGCTTATTTTTATGGCACGGGTTTTTTTCAAAATGAAAAGAAAGAACGAAAAACAAGATGATGATGTATAGGCGTAAGATTGTGCTTTTCTTTTGCATGCATCATAATAAACTATTGGTTGAAAATAAATCTAAACAACGTCGTTTGCGTTTTGTTATTCTTATTCTTTTTAATAGTTGTACATTTATTTTATCAAACATGAAAATACGTCTATTAATTAAAAATAGGCATGTTCAGGTAGTTTTAAATAAATTATATTATTCGACTCATTTTCATTATTTCATATAAAATATGCAATCAATTTTTAATTTAATAAATGTTTCAAAAATTTATTTCACGAAATGTTCAGTTTTTAGGAACAGTACGTAACTTTGAAATATAATGTATCATGACAAACTTTTTAATGTAGAACAAAATATTCTAACTTTGATAACATTTTCTTGTTATTTTGTTAGTGATGGTATCGTAATTAATGAAAACAATTAAAAAAATTTTTAAAACTCATAATAAATAATTTTCACTCAACGCTTTCCCGATAGAACTAAATCTTTAGATACAATCATGATATACGTTTTGGGTTTTGGTTAGAGCACGAATTATATATATATATGTTGTGGTCAAAATTCAAATCCAGTCAAATTTTAAATTTGCCCGGGCAAAATTGAAATTAGAATTTTTTTGGTGAAAATTGAAATTAGAATTTTGACTGTGATTTTGTTGGACACAATTCTAATTTGAATTTTGCCCGGGCAAATTTTAAATTTGACTGGATTTGAATTTTGACCACAACATATATATATCTCCTTATATGGTCAACAATTTACGATTGCAGTTAAACTTGAATGTTTATCAATGGCCAGAAAATATGTTTCCTGTACTTGATCAATTAGAAAATCTCTAGAAAATGAAACATCGAGTATTGATGTTGCATAATTAATGGAATAACTAGATAGCGATGAAAAATCTAATAATTCACAGAAGATTGAAAAAGTACTATCTGCACTTTGAGAAAATGTTTGTAAACAACTGTTTTGATACTGCACCATTAACTATCAGCAAAATTAATTTTCCAAAGGCATCAAAAATTAATCGAAGCGATAAATTATCAAATAACTATAGTTAGACATTGCAAGCGATGAAGAACAGCCCTACTTACGCGATCAAGATTAAGCATATATCACAATGAGAAACTTTCACAATTAAATTTTTATTCTTTTTAAATCGGCTGCTAATACAAAAATTAAAAACCTTTCGAGTTCAATGCATCTATTTGAATCGATAGATACAAGTCAAGAAGACGTGAACCAATCCTTGATGCATTTCTCTTGAGTAAAGATTACTGCACATTATAATCATTGCTTCCAGTACGATTGATAAAGACGTTGGTCACAAAGAGGACAAGAACGGATATTCATTTGAACCAGATTAAACCTATTATTCGATATGGTACCGATTGAGATTGCTATTGTTTTCTTCGAGCGGGAAACAATTATATATATCATTCTATTGGATATATTTCGTTTTATTCCAAATATAACTTCTTCTGTATACATATTATTTTTTATTATTATCGATTAATCCATTGATAAAATAAGTTTAGACAGATCTTTTATTAAACAACCAATATGATTATAATAAAAGCAGACACGTGTTTGATTTGACAATGGTAGAATCACAAGTATTTTTCAAATGGTTACCTGTTGCTGTTGTTCCTTTGTTGATATTTGTAATTTTTGGTTTATCCTATTGGATTTTTGCTCATCAACGACGAAAAAATCAAAAATCGAATGAGAACCAGTTAGAAAATGAACTCATCATTACAAAGCCTATTCATCAAAACATAGTTTCTAAAAATGAATATTTATCATCTCGAACTAAAATTTTAACAAAAAAATCTAAGTCAACCAATTCAACACAATTCACCAATACTGATATAGCTGATATTGATAAAATTTTACATACGGCAAGTGATCGAGCAATGTGGGAACGAAATTATTTAACAAAAGATCAACTTAATAAACTAAAAAAAGTACCATCTGAACAAACTCAACAAAAATCTTTATTTATCAATTGAATTAAGCCTTCTATTTTGTTTTTCTTTGTTAACATAATGTCTTTTATTATATGTACGCATTACGAAGTATGCATCAGTAAATGTTGTTTAAGTTTAGGCATTGTTTTAAAATTATTCGAACATCGATGACATTTTAATTCATTATCAAGAAGTTTTCCCATTCGTATTGTGTCAACACGAATACAACCATTTGCTTGTAGATCATCAATAACTTGACTTGCATCAAGAAAATAATCGCTTGTAAAAGAATTCCAATGTTTTTTCTAAGAAAAATAACAATACATATTCATCTTGGAAATACACATACTGAGAAATGGGTTCACGAATTATTTGGTTACGCTCGTGTTCATTTCTTTCACTGTGTCACAAACTATAATAAGAATGCCGATGGTGACTTTTAAAGGAAATTTTATTTCCTACAAAGCTTTTCCAAGATCAAAATTATTCTGAAATTCCACTGATCAAGTCCTTAAAAGATGCAACCTAACTTAAATTTCGCTATTCTAGAGACTCAATCCTAGCAAAACTCTTAAGCATACTCTTTTAGTTACGATTCATAGCAGCGTAATAAAATCGAAAATAAATTTGTCCAAATAATTTTAGAAGTAACTATTTATATACATACTGTTTTTAAACTGTCTGATATAAAATCTTGACTGATGACATGCATGTGAAGAAGTGACATTGATGGAATAGCATGATAGCCATAACGAAAATGAGCAAATGAGCCACAAGCATTTGCTTTAGCTGCAACTCTATGAATATAAAATTACTGAAAACTCGTCACTAATAATGCCTCAAAATTACTTTTCAGCTGTTTCTTTGCCAACTTTAAGCATATGTTTTAGTAAAGATAGATGAGCATTATTGACCGATTTGAGATTTGTAATATTTTCATTAGGAATAACAAGTAAATGAATGCGAGCCTAAAACAGAAGAATCATTGTGAAATGTAAGAAATTGACTGAAATAAAAAGTCAAGCTTTACAACTTCTATAAAAAATTGCTCAATTATTTTCAATTATAATTTATAAACTGAATTTCGTGGCTTGAAAATTCGAACTTTTAGTACCAAGTACCAGAAAAAATGTTCATAAAATGAAAATTAGTCGAACAATTCCATTTATTATTCGAAGAAAAAAAAACTAATTCGTAGATTTTCGTACTAATCAAATCAATAGCAATTATTATTCGTTATTTTTGTATCATTAATCTACTACTATTCAAAAAACAAATTGCTTACTTTTGGAAATTTATCGTTAATAACAGTACACAAGTCATCTTTGTATACTTGAATACTCTCGTCATCTACGGCTGCTGATAAACCTGCTGACCAATGATTCTTTTTTGGTTGATTTCCATTAACATTATCTGACGATGGCATCTTTCGTTTTTCAGACATCGATGGCAATGAAGAAGCCATTCTTTCTAAATAACAGGTAATAATGAAAAAAGTGCATGCTATGTTTTTTTTTATTCTATTTAAATATAGAGCTATGATTTGTAATTACATCAATATGGTGTAAGATTAGTCAATTTTATTTCACAATTTAACACAGAAAGAAAAAAGAAAAGATATTCAGCACATAAACGCACACAATAAATCTAAGAAATGCAACGAGCATGAGCAATGTTTGAGACATTTAATTATCATCAAAACAAAATTCATATGAAATATCTGACTCAGATTATTAAACTGATGTTTCCGAATTAAGTTTTAAAATAAATCTATTTTGTTTTAAATCGAAAATTTTTTCAATTAAATGTATTCGTGGCATCTGATGAAATGAACATATCAATCCAATATGTTCGGCATGCTGTTGTTTTAGTACAAATACTAAATTTGCATATATCGATTGATTGATTGATATTGTTTTTCTGTTCTCTTTCTCATAGATATACGGTTGTGGATCGCATATTATTGACCATGATTGTTCAATAGCATGATTTGTTGTTGATGCTATTGCTGGAAGTAGCGTTGTAGCTAATGGCTGTGATTCTGTTTGAACGTAACGTTCAAGAAATGCTCGAGGCGATAGATCATGTGATAAACATGTTGATAAATGATAAATAATTGATTCACGAGTGAAATAAGGTTGCTGACGAGTTATTCGAAGATATTTTTGAAGTGGACGTGACATTGATGAAAATACAGCCTAGAAACAAAATTATTTTTGTTTTTTAACACAATTTAAAGAAAAACTAAATCAGTACTTGTGCTGCTTCTCGAGCATCCATTGGTATATGCGAACCATATTTTTCATTGAGACACTTACGAACATGTGTAAATGCATCTTCACATGAACTTACTAATTTTGTACGTCGTTTTCGTACTCGACGTTCATAATCAAGTTCATCGTAGAATCTAGAATAAATAAAACAACATAGTAATTTTAGTACTCAATTTCTATCAACTATAGAGAAACTCTCAATTGTAAAAATGTTTCTTTCAATGAGCCTGTTTCGTTGGCATTTTATGAAGCTACATCATAGCTCGCTTCGAACTATACTATGCCAAGGAAATATTTTGAAATAGTAATGAAAATTTTTCTCTTTTTGAATAAAGCATAGGAACTATGAAATTTAAATCCACCTGATTGAACATTGCTACTTTACACTGAGAAATATCAATGATAACGTGTCGAGCTGAATTTCACACGAAGTTAAGAATAGAAGAATATAACCTGGTTTCATTGCAACAGAAGAATAGTATTCGTTAGAGCTATTACCCAAAGAAAAAGGTTCTTGCAAAATTTAAGCAAATTGATTTCGTTATCGATAGAAATGAGGATGCATGTCGGAGTATTTTATTCGTGCTGATAGCCCTCCAAAATAAAGATTTCTCTTTGTAATATCGCTTTTAGGTAGTTTCTTTCATCTTCTATAACTAGCTCTATCAGAATAATATATTGAGTTACGAAAACAAATATCATAAGTAAAATACCGATCATTATATTCATGCATCGAACGTGTAACATCTCGATTTCGATTAACACCAGTAGCAATAGTCGATGCATTCGATTGTGATCCAATAGATTTCGTTGATAATGCTCCATGTTGTCTTGCTTGTGTTTGGTGCACATTTTCCAACCATGGATTGAACACAGGAAAATCTTTATAATATTGTTCAAGTAGATAAACACTTGCTTCCTGTATTGACATCGAACCTAAGAAGAAAATAAACAAATGAAATTTCTTTTCCATTTTGTTTTTATTAGTCTATCAAATTATTACCAATTGTATATTGTCTTGTTTCTCCATCAGGTGACCGTACAACTTTAACAATCCATTTGGGATATAACCATTTTGTTTCTAAGACAATAACAACTAATAGGAATAAAAATAAAAGTAAATCTTCATAGGTTGATGTCATTGATAAAATTTTTTCATAATTGTCAACATTTGGTTGCAATAATTTAAAAGTATAATATAACCAATAAGCCAAAATAATCATCGTCAAAATCATCATAAAAAGTATTTTATGTAAATGTATGCGTGGTAAATAAATTGTAGTTCGTCGTCGATATAATAATAATAACGTGCCAACAAATAAAAGTAGAAGTTTAAAAATAATTGTTAATAATAATGTATAATCATCAATCGCTATTAAATCCGATTGAATTAATATATATGGTAATGTTAGAAATAGTATAGGTGATACAAAAGCAATAAGACAAAGTAAATAAATAACAAAATGATAAATTACAATTGAACGTTTGCGATGATTGATTTTGTTTGTTAAATTTTGTAAAGGACTGTGTAATTGCAAAGTAGTATCATTATTGTTGGTTAATGCATCTTCATTACCGCCGTTACATGTTGTTGTTGTTGTTTCGCCCCAGTTATCATCTTGTGGAAGAATTTTTACTTCAATACGTTCATCTTGATCATCAATCGATGTTACATTAGTTTGATGTTTTCGATGATGACGTCGCGACGATGATGATGAACGTGTTTCATAATTGTTGGTATTCGATGATGAAATTATAGGAATTGGAATTGACTCTTTTGAAAGAATTAGATTAGAAGGTAAAGCTACAGAATTAATTATTCCACCATATGTGTCTGGTTCCATGATCTATAATTATATAGTTGATTCAATTATAACATATAGATTGATATGTTGTGAATAGAATTTTATTGAACAACATGATCACGATCTCAACATCTATATCAAGTCTGTCAGATAACAACGAGTTATGTGTCTTGAGATCAAACGATAGAAGAAAAAATGATGAAGATGAATATGACTAAGGGCACTATTCTAGTTATTATAACTTCAAAGATTATCACCGATTTGGTCTATTTAATAAATATCACTCTCGATTTTTTCCCGGTGTGCCATCGATTCAATCAAAGAACAAATGTCTAACCTATGTAGAATTAATTAGTATTTACTTACATCGACTACCGCTGAACAGTATTGTTGTTCGTTAACGTGGCTGTTTTTCTTTATTAGTAACTCATATGCTGTGTTTTTTCCAGTTGTTGTCATGATTGTCTACCGATATACAACAACTGCTCGTGTTTACTCTTTATCGTCGAGTGCACATATCCATGAAATTAACCATCTCAGTTCTCTTTTTCTTCTGTCCATTATCTCGCAGCGTTGTCTTTCTTCTTTTTCTTTACACTGTCTCGCTATTAAGCTACGCTTCAAGCATTTGAAAAAAGCGTAGATTGTTCTAGTCACTATCAAGAAGAAGCAGAAAAAACTACATATACAAAGGTTCAATGCCTATCACACATGTACTGATATCTGTACATGTAATTTATGCCATATATTCAAATGAATTTCATATTGAAACTCTTTTGAACAAATATTAATCAATACTCATTTTTCATCTGAATATGTGGAAAAAAACATGATCAATGAGTTCTAAAGTAAAAAATAACATTAGTCGAGCCGTTGATAGATTGATGACATGCTCAATATATATGCGTATCTCATCATATATTAACTAGTCATCGCCTATGAATGCTTCTAATTTTTTCTCAATGAATTATATTTTATCTAGATCAAATTTAAAATTAATGAGAAGTCTAACAAAAAAATATTTATCGTCATTTTTTTTTCAATTATAAAATTTCATTTCTCTTACGTACAGTATAAAGACATTTGGCATTGATACTAGCTGTTCGACGTTGTTCTTCCATGTCGAATGAAAGTGAAGTAATACAAAAAAAAAAGGGAGAAGCAACGTTTGTTTAATAAACTTAAACAGAAATGTATCACGTACACGCTTTACAGATTTATGACTGACCTCTTCTCAGAAGAGAAGAAAGAGAAAGAAGAAAGGCAGAAAGCAAGCTTTGTTCTTAAATAGAACAGCGAAAACTTGCATAATCAATAAAAAGAATTCTTGTAATATACACCATCAGTCTGATTTAAACTTATAATGGCCCTTGAACAATGCCGTTTTATATTCTTATTAGATATACATCGGCATACGACGAAGTCTTTTGCGCTTTACGGCAATTATTGTATCTGCTCACACACTCATACTAACAAAGAAAAGAATAAGAGAACATTGAACAAACAAAGACGGATCATAGTAACAAAGAATACATCTTAACAGATCGATTGTCTGATGTTTAAGCAATAAAACAAGAAAACAAACGGAACAGACAACACTTACTTATTTTAAAATACTGACTGGCAGATGATATCGATTGATAGACATTAGACAAAGACAAAAGAATGAACGTCTATTGGATGCAATACAAACAGAGACATCATGATAAATAGCATTCGTATTGATAAGGTATGCCATCTATATGAAAAAAATGCAGCGCAATTGCTAGATTTTTTTCAAAGAAAAAACATTTTACCAAATAAATTAATTTTTATAACAGAAAGAAAAGAAATTTACTGGTAATATTAATTACCAATCCATTATCATGATGAAATCGTTGAACTTCACAATTGTGCATTTATTTATTTTATTAGAAAGAAATCAATTGAAATGACGATAAGTCGTGCTGCATCATATTTTATTTCAACACCAATTTATTATGTTAATTCAAAACCACATATAGGTCATCTTTATTCAAGTTTACTAGCTGATACTATTGCAAGATGGCAACGTATAAAACATCCGTCAATATCAAAACTGATTTTCTCAACTGGAACCGATGAACATGGATTGAAAATTGAACGAGCTGCTACCGATGCTCATCTTACGCCGTTAGAATTTTGTAATCAAGTTTCAGGTAGAATAAATTGGAGGAAAATTTTTTGTTTTAGATAGTTTACTTTATTCTATTTAGAAACTTTTCGTAAAATGTTTGATCAATTTTCCATTGAATATTCAAATTATATTCGAACAACCGACGAAAAACATTGTCAAGCTGTTCGGCATGTTTGGCAAGAACTATCGAAACAAAATTTGATCTATAAAGGTAGTTATGAAGGATGGTATTCAGTTCAAGACGAATGTTTCGTTAGCGAAGATGAAGTAAGGATCAGGTTAGTTTTTATTTCCATGTTTCAGTTATTAAAAAAGAATTGGTGTTTTTTTCTCTCTCCGTGTATCATTAGATAATTAAAGATCAATCAGGTCAAACTAGAATTAAAGAAACGAATCGTCCTGTTGAATGGACAGAAGAAAAAAATTATATGTTTAAATTAAATCAATTTCATGAACGTATTGAACAATGGATAAAAGATAAAAAACCATTATATCCGACTAAATACAATAAACTTGCATTGAGACAATTATCTGAACTTACAAAACAAGGCGATATATCTATTTCACGGGAATCAAAACGACTTTCATGGGGTATAAAAGTACGTTCGAAATAAGTGATTTTCATATGCAAAATATTCAATTAAATTAGGTACCAAATGATTCATCGCAAATAGTCTATGTTTGGATTGATGCACTTATTAATTATTTAACTGTTGCTGGTTATCCTGATCATACTATTCATTGGCCACCTAATTGTCAAATAATTGGTAAAGAAATTCTTCGTTTTCATGCTATCTATTGGCCAGCATTACTTATGGGACTTGATCTTGAATTACCACGTCAAATAGTTGTTCATGGGCACTGGCTAAAAGATGATAAGAAAATGTCGAAAAGTGTCGGCAATGTAATTGACCCATGTGATCTATTAATGAAACTTCAATGTGATGGTGTTCGTTATTGTTTATTACGTGAAGATGTTCTTTCACAGGATGCAAATTTTAATGAATATAAAATGAAAAAATATTTAAATGCTGAACTAGCAAATACGCTTGGCAATCTTCTTAATCGTGTGACTTCGTCAGCAATAAATTCTGAATGTATTTATCCTTCTCGTCCTTCACATCCATTGTCTTCATCAGCAACAGAACTTCTTGATCAATGTATCAATCTACCATTACGTGTTACAACAGCATACGATTTATATGAATTCTATCATGGAATAATTGCAATTATGGATGTCCTTCGTGCATGTAATGCTTATGTTCAACATGAACAACCTTGGTTATTAGCTAAATCAACGATAGAAAATGATCGACAACGTTTACAAATATTGATTTATTTAACACTTGAATGCTTGCGTATTTGTGGTATTCTACTACAACCAATTGTTCCATCAATTAGTAAACAATTACTTGATGCACTTGGCATTGATCAGAATAAGCGTACATTACATGATTGTACTGTTCAGATTGAACACAAAGCGAAACATTTAAATTTTATGAAAAATGAACGTATTTCTTTGTATCAACGTTTACCGATTGTTGAAAATGAGCGTGATGAATAAATTGGGGGTATCTTTATCATATTTTTTTCTCGTACTTTTTCTGCCTATTAATGGTGATTCAAATTGAACATGACAAAAATTAGTTCGATGCTCTTGAGAGGTACACATGTGTTATATTTGAAAAGAAATGAAGTAGGAATGATCATTTGGTGTTTGTATTCAAAATCTCGTAATGTGTGCAATATGTGTACATATGTGCACTTGAGTGTGACGAAATCAAAACGAAAGAAAAAAAGATGAAGATAACACTACAAAACATGTATTACTACAAGATAGTGACCATCATTCTAAGGTAACTTTCTTTGTAATTCATCTCGGTATTATTTCTCATTGACGACAACGACAAGGTGAACGATGAGGTTTGACATTAGTTGATAAATTAAATAAACGCACAATAAATAATCATAACTATCATGGGTACTGGATTATCTACTATCAATGGTCTTTTATTTTCAAGTGAATTCGTTCAATCTTCGAATTTCTATGATTATTTTGTTTTTATGTAGAAACATCGATTGTTGTTCATGGTGAAACCTATCGAATATTTAATATAATTGGACAAGGTGGTGAAGCCACTGTATATCGATGTAAAGACGTACAGGGAAATCAATATGCTGTGAAAATTTTTTATTTTTCCCGATATCCTCCATTTCAAATTCGTGCTCGCATTGATGGATTTATGAAGGAAGGTCGTATTCTAAGCTACTTAAGTGGACGATCACCACATTTTATTCGTATTGTTGATTTTGAATATCGACCAAATGAAAACATTGGTTACATGATCATGGAATTAGGTGATGGAAATTTGAGACAATATTTACGAGGAGTACCATTAAATCCTAGTGTTCGTAAAATGTACTGGCGACAGATTGTTGGTATTTTGACAGCACTTCAGGATGCAAAAATCGGTAAATCGGTATAAGAAAAATGGCATATTGTTGAATATATTTTTTTTCTTCTGTTATCTTTATTTAAAGTACATGCTGATATTAAGCCTGAAAATATGATTCTAGTAAATGGTTTGTTAAAAATAACTGATCTAAGTCTTGCTTTTGGATTACCCTCTACGGGACAAGCTATGCAAGTACCAATGGTTCGTGGTACCCTAGGTAAATAGAAATAACAATGAGATTTTTCGAAAAAGGAACATTTTATTTGTATAATCTATTTATCATAGATTATATGGCACCTGAAGTTTTCGCATATCAAACAGGCTTCAAATCAGATATATGGTCAGCAGGTGTTATTCTCTATGAGATGACTTATGGTTATCCTCCCTATTTTGATTTTATCGATCGAGAACAAAAAATCTCTGCTATTGCAAGAATGACGCCTATAATTTATCCTCCAGTCGACGATCTTTTTCTACTTGATATTATGCAAAAATGCCTTGCATTGATTGCTGCTTTGAGACCAAGTGCATATAACTTACAGGAACATCCATATACAGGTTTATAATATGAACGGGATATTATTTTTGTTTTCATATGAAATATTCTTCTTCAGTATAAGAAGATCTAGTTCGAAATTTTTACAGAAAACTTTTTCTTTTTTGCTCAATTTTATTGATACGAAACGTTTGTTTTAAGATTTCACTACTAAACAGTGTAGTTCTGATGTGTGAATTTTTCTTTTATATCTTGTAATAGTGTTTTGCTAAAGTACAATAGTTTTATCTCACTTATTTCTTACTGTGAATAAATCATTGAAAACAAGACTTTTTTAGCGTCTGTTTCGATTATATTTGTCGTTGAATCTACAAACAAAACCACCGATTAGCATTCATTTCTTTCTAATGTAGACGTGCATTTATTTTCTTTTGTGTCTTTCGTTAACCGAATAAACGAAGCAACTAAGAAGAGTGTAATATTGATGTCTGGTATTACTCTTTTCTCATGCGTGAATGTCACTCATTACTCGTCCAGCATGTGAAATAATATGTTCTTGAAAAAATTCAATGGAGTTGTCAAACAAGAAAAATTCTTATTTATTCTCGAATTTTCTCAGCCAGTCTATAAATATGTAAGCGCATATTACTTGGCAAAATCATTTGTTTTAGAAACCAATTACATGTAAGTCACAATGGCTATAGTACTATTTGATGATATTGAGTCATATAGTTATTCGGATTGAAATACGTTAAATGACTGATTTCGAGGCTGCGACATACTTCTCATCTATTGATAGTGTCGTAAATGTCATAAAAATTGATAGTTTTTTTTCTCCACTAATAAGAACATGGTACGAAATAGTATGTCATTATTTTTTCAATAACAACAATAAAAGTTACAAATACACAAGTAAAACTGTTGAAGATATGATTTGGAAATTTCCAACTGATAATACAAATTTTAAAATTCCAATCGTTTCATATTACCGTTAAAGCCACATAGTATTTATTTCAATACACATTCATATCATCATTTTTGTAATTTGATCACGTTCCCCTACTTCAATTATATCAGTACTTTTCATTTAGTCTCTTCAGATTGAGATAAGCAGTACGTTTTGTTTGATAACTTATCATAGTTGTTGAATTATATATTCCAATAAAGAATTAACTTTATAAAAGCAAAAATAAAGTCATACTAAATAAATATTATTCATTGTAGATTTAGAATTAATCGTGCTCGTTAAAATGTCGCGAACAAATGTATTTTCTCATTTCGAAAATGGAAATCGATATCGTTTCGATGACAAATCAACTCCATCGAATAGATTCAATTTAGAAACAATTTTTGATTTTTCCAATTTGTAAACATAGACTTCCTAGTATTTTCAATATCACTTCTCATATTCTTGTTCTTTTTATTTTAGACAACCAAGAGTCCAAACTCATCTTAAAAATGTTTATACTTGTGTATTAGTTAGTGTCATATGTGCAACACTAGGTGTTTATTTATCCATGGCAGATTGACTCAATTATCCTCGTTTAGCTATATTTGCATAAAAAATAACAAGTATTTGGTTGTTTGCGGCGGATTTTAATGTTCATACACAAATGAAATGCTTTGGATCAATGTCAGATACGTCTTTATTTACTGGCATTTATTGAAGTCCACTCATTAATTTAGCTATTCGTGTTGACCCACAAATTGTTATGACAGCATTCTTATTGACAACAACTATTTTTGCTTGTTTTACACTTAGTGCCTTACTTACACGAAAGCGAACATATTTATATTTTTGGAGGTAGGAGAATTCGAAGAGAAAATCCTAACATAATATTTGTTCATCACTGTTTAGGTATACTCGGTACGGGTACATCAATTATGTTTCCACTGAGTTTAATGAATATATTTGGACGATCACAACTTATTTTTAATGTAAAGAAAACAGAAAAAAAAATCATCAAGAAACTATCGTGTTTTTCTTTTAGTTTAATTTTTCTTTTGGTTTAGTTATTGTTTGTGGTTTAGTTATTGTTTGTGGTTATATTTTGTATGATACTCAATAAATTGTTGAACGAGCACCAAATGGTGATATGAAGTATGTCAAATAAATAAAAAAGAAAAGCGCGAAAAAACCAAACAATCCTTGATTGTTATATGACTATCTCTTACAATTTATATTTATCTTTCGCGTCATGTCATGTTTTTGTTTTTATAGGTGATTTCATCGTTTTAGACATACCTTTCTTCTATTTATCGATATGGTCGATTTGTTCGTTCGTATTCTCATAGTTTTACTTGAAAATGTATGTAATTATTATTTATATGTGTAGTTTTACTTGTTATCTATACATATTTATCTGCTATTTATAGTCGCAAAGCAAAATAAAAAGAGCAACAATCGTTAAAAAGAATACTTCAAGTTATCAACGAAATGCAACCACTCGAATCAATCAAAACACAAACACACGAACGCCTTATGTTTTTCTCTGGTCGATTAAATATCACATTTGATTTTTGTAAATTACTCTCTGCTCTCTCTCTCTTCCTCTGATTCAATATTTACTTCTGTTTATTTAAGCAATTGCAAGAATCTTTAATCTTGATTTAGTGATGAATGCGTATTCATTTTGAAATTAAAGAAACATAAAGCTTGACACAAAATAGAATCAATTTGTTATTATAGCCGACAAAAAAAAATAAAAGGAAGAGAAAAGACAACATATACTTGCCTTTTAAAAATGGTATTGTATTAAGATACTTCTAGGCATTATGAAAAGAAAACAATTGTGTCCATTCAATAGTGTTATGTTATGAAGAAAAAGATAATAGCTCAAGCTGACGTCAAACGTAAACGATCATATAGTAGATCAATGGATTTGTCTTTCTTTAGGGTATTAAAATTAAAATAACGTAGTAATTTCATACGTGAAGTACAGAAGAAAAGAACACATAGTTTTCATGTGAAAACATGTAATAGTAGTATTATAAATCTAATTCCAAAAGAAGATAAACTATGCTATTAACTAACAAAATATGCGTTAAATTCATAATATACAAAAAAGAACGTGAAATTCAACACTACACATTATTACATGCATTGTCAATAGGAATGATCAGCATATCTAATTTCAGCATATTCACTTCCAAGCAATTTTTATTAAATTGAAGTTCCACGAAAAAAAGAATGAGCAGCTGGTCGGTGCTTACCAACTTTCATCATTCTAGTAGATTCTATTGTTAGGGAAGAGAAAAAAAATGGAGAACAAGTATAACATCTGTCTCAGCAACTGATTTAAGTTGACGTGATGTTCTGTTGACACAAGCAAATCTCTCACGGTTCTAGTCGCATTATATTTAGAGACGAAAAGTATCCTTCATCATTAGTACTCGTCAACAGATTTCTCTTAAGAAGACTTCTTTACAAACTATTTTAAATATTCATAGAGTTTTTCGTTATAATAAATCACACAGTATCGTTACTCATGCCAATAGTAAGTAAAATATATTATTGAAACTAAGTAAGTGAATATGACACTCGTGCATTATTTTCTATTCTGTTGAAAACGAGAGAGAGAGAGAGAGAGAGAACGCAGAGAATGAGTTGCTTGCACATAAGCATCATAATAACCACAAGGCTTGCTGCAGTCTGTTACCAATGGTAAAATAGATAGAAGAAAAAAAAAATGGCAAGGCGAAGAGAGAAAAAAACATATACATGTCTGCATTCTATCAAAATTTGATTTCAAACGACTGAAGGCATTCATTCATCAAATACTATGAACAGTTGTCTTCTTTCATTCTTTTTTTCGTTTACGATTTATCATACGATTCGTTTTCTGTATGAATATACCTACATATGGATACATATATTATCTCATGCGTTACAAGTTTCATGATTATACATCATTTTATTACTAATTAAACAGCTATGTGTATTTTTTTTTCATTTCAGTATCTTGATACAGATTTTTATTTTTATACAAACTGAGCAAGTTTAACCTGCCCGTTTGAAATTTAAATCAACGTTAGTACAATACCATATTCACAGAACTATCACCAACATGTAAGTTTCGTTTTTTTTTCTTTCTTTCTGATTATTCAAGGTTTTTCATAATGCATTCATGTTATGATTGTGATTCTTTTCTTTGAAATATACGAACTAATATATAATGGACTAAAACAGTACTCTACTGTGTGAAATAAGTAATCAATCATTATCAACACTAAAAGAAATGCTTTAGAAATTTTACGATCGATGAATTTTTGTTTTGATCAAGAGAAAAGGAACGTTTTTTTTCTCATCGATGTGTTTCTTTCGGTTGACATTGTAAAATAACGAGCACTGAAATCGCGCTTATACAACCATAAAAAAAAGCGAAATGAATGCATCAGTATGATCATGTCGCGAAAGAACATCACCATGATTTTTCGTTCGCGTTATACAACGTGATGTTTATAATTCATTATTAATTAGCATGCTTCAACATTGAAAGAATATGAGAAGAAATAAAAGATAATAAAATAGCTGTCGGAGTTTTATTCAATAGCATTTAACGAGTGATATCAAACATTTGATAAATAGTTTAACAAAAAATGTAACATTCGAAACGATTTCTTGTAAAAGAATAATTGATTTTCACTCTAGAAATATTAATTAGAAAAATATGTGTCTCAATAAACGATGCAAAGGTCAGCAATATATTTCTCCCGTCATAATAAACGATAATAGATTATTTCTTTTTTCATGATTTTTCTTTGTTAATATGTTTTGTTTACATCTGTAAATATATAATAGTTTTAAGTTTCGTACGTTAGCTGACCTTCGGAGTTTATTTAACTCTCAAGAATGAAAATTTGTCGAAAGAACTATAAACATATGTCATTCGGTTCGATAATAGTAGAAAGAAAATCAACTGTTTTCTTGCTGAATATTTTTTTCTCTTTTATTAGATTTTCAGCAGCAGTAATTTTCAATAAATGATCCCACTTCTAGAGGCTTCGTTTCATAGATTTTGCATAGGAATCTATCTAGAAATATTCTCATCGCATGAACAATTGTGTGCGCAAAACTAATAATTACTACTTTGTAATTAAATCGTGATCTATAGAGACATTTTATCGTAACCAAGGGAATTATAAACAGATTAATCTCAATGGATCAACCACATTCATATAAGATTTAACTTTTTACCCAATAAAATTCTAAAAATGAATATTCTAAAAAACTTTACTGTCTCAATGAATGTAGCATATTTCTCAATTAAATTTATTCTTGATAGCATTATAGAGAAGAGATTCTTCAAACTATAATGGCTTTCTAATTATATCATTTATGTGAAAAAGATAATTAAATTAACTTTAAACGAATATGTTGTCATTGATCGATAAAAGCTATAAATTACTCGTATAATAAATAAAATTTTTTAAAGAACCAGGTAAATATATTAAGAATAAGGTTATCATAGTCTTTTCGATGAATTCCACGTTTCGTTAAATACAAAACCAACTTACTTCGTTTAGATAAACATACAAGTCAATGTTGTCTTAAGAGTGTCGTTGAGAAACAGTCATAGCAAACTAATTTCAATATTAGAAAAATCATAAGAAGATACTTAAAAAAATGCTCGAGTCTTCCTTAAGGAATCTAGATATAAATAGAAGAGAAACTGGATAATTCTATTATTAATGAAAATTTTATATTCAACAGAATATAATTACATGAATCTGATCTATAACAGAATAAGATTTCATGTTAATTTTGTATCATAGGCAGATGAGCACAAGAAGAAAAAAAGCATACTTGTGTTTTCCTCTAGATTGATATTTGTATCATTGAATCGATCTTCAAGTAAATTCTTTTTCATTTCAGTTTTCTCTAGAGAATTCAGCATTTCTCCATGTAATAATATGATCTTTGCTCCATCGGATAAAAAGAGAAACTATTTCTTGATTAGGCTCATTTTACAGAGGCTGATTGAATTTTTAAAATGTGTTTCTAAATTTTTGTCATTTTAACTTTCTTAGACAACAACAACAATAACAAACTCTGACAGAACATAGAAGAAATCGTATCGTTCATCTGAAACAATATGAAGTTTTCTTACAAATATAAGTATTTTCGAGATGCGTAGCTCGAAAACAAATATACTAGAGAAAGTTTACCGACGTATGAGAAACTCGTTGAGTACGCTGAATTGCTGATCGAGAACACTTGAGAAACGATATTGAGACGTATGATAAAAATCTAGTAACTTTAGCGGATATTCCAAAAATAAATTATCCAACAACAACAACAATCATATATCTATTTTGAACACATGACATAATTTTTTTGTTAATGATTAAAAAAGAGTTCAAAGTTTTTCTCTTTCTTTGAAAACCGATCTTATTAATATTGCTTGACGCTATGAAAATATATTAAAAAGATGGATTTAAAATCTCTATGATAATATTAACATGCTCATAGTCGTAAATTTGTCAATTTCTAAAAATAGTTTATTTATAATCTTGAAGGTTTCACTCGCCTGCCTGGCTTCTTCGATCTTTCACAGGATTCTATTGGATGTTCTATTACAGAAAAATGGTCAGAATACTCGTACGACTTGAATTAATATTTAATCTATGACTTGTATAGATACTCAACTAGGAATACATAAAAGTATCCCAAGATGTTCTGATGCGTTCTATTTCTTGAGAGATTTTCCCATGAGTCGTTTTCATAAAAAGAATTTTCTTTTTTTCATAAAAAAATAGAAATTTCTGTGCTCAGAATAATAAAAAATAAGTAAGTCAAATAACTATAAAATTATAGCAGAGCATGTCTTTTTGTCAATCTTTTGGTTCTAGTGCATCTATTTGTTGATGTAAATAGGAAAAGCTCTTCTGTAAAATAATCAATGCAAGCAACTCTACAGAACCAGATGTATGAAAAGAAAAATATTTAGATCAACGCATTTCTTATAATCGTCTTTTTCTATGAAGCACTCAAAAAGACAGTTTAGTGATTTGATTGAAGTAGATAGCGGTACATTTTAATCGTGTCAATAACCTGATGATTGATGAATCAGAACCTGGCCAATTTCTTTCGAAATCGCTTCTTTTCATCATTACACGATGCACTTTTTCTAGTGTTATTTTTCTTGTTGGAGTATGCCTGGAACATGCAGTGCTTTTAGATATCCAATATTTGTGGAAAGTTTTATCAAAATCATATGATTAATATAAAAATTCATCTTTGAAATTGGCAGGCCTACTTAACGAAGGAAAGTGAATAAATCGTAAAGAATTTATAAGCTTAAAATACAAGAAACATTGTAGCTATAATATTAATATTGATCTTCACGCAAAGATTAAAATTCATAATTGATGAGTTATAATCATGATAAATAAAGGGTTTTCTTTTTCTTTTACCTTACTACAGTTTTCATTTATAGTTTTACTGACGTATTAGTTAAATAGCGCAGAAACATGTGGTTATTCTCAAAATTGATTACATCTTTAGCTTCATTTTTCTGGGTAAATGTGACATGGTTTATGTATTTGTTGAAAAATTTCTATACTTATTTTCATAATAAGAAATGAAAGCCTACTGTAAAAGACCCATTTTTTTCTGTATATTCCATATTTATTTACAACATAAAACTAATACTTAACTAGCTGGCGTTGACGATTAGTTTATACTTAACCAATTATTTAGAAGTATGATATTTTTTCCCGCTAACTATAATTTGATAAAAGAATAGAGTACTGATTTTATGTTTCATTTTATTTAATGTGATTTTTAAAATCAAATAATAAAAATCATTTATCGGTAAACATATTGTAAGAATATAGAATTGTAGTAAAAGTTTTTTTTTTTACGGTAGTTATTCTAAATCGAATTATGTTCACCTAGATCAATACTATGTTCTTTTTTGTTTAAAACTTATAATATTAAAATAAGATTAAAAACAAAACCAGTTGATCACTACCTCTCAAATATATAAATATGAATCACGTTTGTGATCATTTGTGCAGAAATTTAAACGAAGTACTAAGTAGAAATTCAGTACAGTTTTTATTTTTATTATCATTTATCATTTATTATTTAATGATTTACATATTTTAATTTTATAGGTCGGGCGAAAGTGCAAAAAACGTTCGAACTGATAGTAAAGTTTCAAAAAAGAATCGCTCATCGGCAGATTCTCATCCTACACTTGAAGACGAAACAGAAAAACAAATGGAAATGCAATTATTAGATCCATCAATTCCATCACCGGAGATAAAACAGCCTAAAAAAAAGGTAACCATGGCATAATTCTATTTTTTTCTTTATGTTGTTTTTTCGGTTGCTGTTATATATACTATATAAACTTTGAGAGAACATATGTAAGAATAAGCTAATTCTTTTTGTTAAGCTGTTCGAACCATCTTAGGTGCATCCCATGAATTATCTAAATATAGATACGATGCTGAAGAATCAAATATATGATGATGATGATGATTACTGACAGACGCAGATGAGAAACGACAGCAGAATAACAACAAACAACAACAGCAGCAGCGGCAAAGAAACGCTTTAACCATGCAATACTAATTCTATCGTGTGTATATCATCAGCAGCAGAAATTTGATTCGATGCCAACCAACTGATGTACCAATAGATAGGATATGCTCGTAGCAGGAAAAGAGGAAAATGCGAGAAAGAATCATGTACAACTTGGAATATTCTGGTGTACAGTTAGTCGGTTACCTCAAATAACAGAATATATCGTCTTCGCTTCCCTGCAAAGCCAGAGTATGGTCGATAGAAAATAGTATTGTTCTGTAACATTTGAGAGAAAAGAAGTTGTTCTTTTCTTTAACACTATTTTGAGTTCGAACAAGTAATTGATGGTTTTTTAAATAATAGATAAATAAGATTTTTAGTTCCGTGCATATTTGACTGACATCCGTTTTTTTTTTTACTTTTATTTGTTTTATTTTGTTCATCAATCGTCTAGAGATTAAATAAAAGCAGAATAAAAGATAAAAACGAAAGGAAAAACTTTCATTCGACATTAGTCTAGCTAATACACTAGATAGGATTGAGTAGGGACAGACGCATCTTAATAAAGTAAATTCAAGTGAGTTTAAAGCGATAGTCTCATTTGCGTCTGTGCCGTCGCCGAGAAATGACAGTAGCATTCACACTCAATATGCAAATATTATCATCAACGGAGAGTGGATGATGCTATACTTATGCTTCTACATATAGCCATATATAGATAGATAGATAGATATAAAATATGCAATTTTTGTGTTCATGCTCATTGTTTTCTTGGAATCGGAGAGATGCATATGATAAGTAAGGTTAGTTGATTCGTTGAAGAAGAAGGAGAAGAAAAAAAACCAATATTTGCTAATACCATGCATTGATGTACATAATAGATACGATGCAATAAGAAGCAAAAAAAAATAGTATGAAATACTATGACATGATAACAGAAGGAATTTTTTTTTTCGTTAATTTTCTATAGATTCTGTTTTGCTTTCATTAAGATGCCGTCAAGAAAAAAATCAGCGCCTGCAAAAACACCCGCGAGCGGCGATCCATCAATGTTTGGTCTAACAGTTGATCAATTAAAGACATTGATGGAATCACGTGGAAAAGAATTAATTGAAAAATTAAATTCTTCAGAATATAATGGTACTCAAGGAATTTTAGACAAATTAAAAGTTGATGGCACTAAAGGACTTGACTCAGATAATGAACAAGATCTTGAACAACGTCGTGCAGTATTTGGAAAAAATGAAATACCACCAAAACCGATGAAATCATTTATATCACTATGTTGGGATGCACTTCATGATATGTTATTACAAATATTATTGGTCTGTGCTATTATTTCGATTGGTCTTTCATTCTATAAACCACCTAGTACAGGACACGATGAAGAAGAACGTATGTATAGCTGTTTTTCCTTTTTTTTCTTTTAGTTGCATCATTTAGGTCTGAAATAAATTAGACGAATAGACATGTGGAATGCGATAGACGATGAGAATATTGATTTATTTCTTTGGCTACTAGATAAATACTTGTGCTGATCGATTACGACGGATGTTGTCGATACGTCATTGTTTCTCATTATCATTTATCTCTGTCCACCAGTCGCTTGTTCTCTATATTGCTTTTGTTATTATTAAAGATGAGATGTTACGCATGTCTGCATGTGGATGCGATGCCTTATTTTTATTCAGGATGTTCTCAAGAGATCAACATGGTGTAGTTAGGAAAGCTATTCATTAAAAGATTTTCCAGAAGTATTGACAAAAAAATATAAATAAATCATTTATAGACATCAACTCATGTTACTTAAATGTAAACAAATTATAAATCATATCTATTTGAACGAAGAGAAGAAATAGAACAGCAGCAATTAACCACAGGAAAAAGTTCTAATTATGAGAACTTTTAATATCTTGTTATTCATACTAAGTAGGATGCTAAACAAAACTGGAGAAAATCTAAATTTATTGTTTTCTTTTAGATAGATTGAATTAAAATAGTATAGAAAAATAACAATTTCGTATTATTTTAGCCAATCTTGAATGGGTTGAAGGTGTTGCTATTCTTGTTGCTGTTCTTGTCGTTGTATTCGTAACTGCATTTAATGATTGGAGAAAAGAACGACAATTTCGTGGATTACAAAGTAAAATTGAAAAAGACCAACAAGCATCCGTTGTACGAGATAATCAAATAAAACAGATTCCTGTTTCGGATCTGGTTGTTGGCGATCTTTGTTTCGTTAAATATGGTAAATATTTTAGAAGAAAAACTAAAATTCCAAAAGAAATTCTTCATTAAACTGATTTATTTAGGTGACCTTTTACCAGCTGATGGACTTTTAGTTCAGTCAAGTGATCTGAAAATCGATGAATCTTCTCTAACTGGTAACCAAAACTGTTTTTCTTCAAAAAAATCCATCAGAAATTATAATGCAAATGTTTTGTTTTAGGAGAAACAGATTTAATCAAGAAAAGTGAAACTGATGATGCGGGATTATTATCTGGTACACATGTTATGGAAGGTAGTGCTCGAATGGTAGTTCTTGGCGTTGGACTTAATTCTCAAGTTGGAAATATAATGAGTTTGCTCGGAGCAACAGCTAGCGTGCATCCAGCAACAAATAGCAAAACAAAACCTGTAAAATCTAAGGGAAAAGATTTAGTTAAAAAGGCTACATCTGATTTATCCAAGCAAAGTCTGCAAATTGAAGATGACGTCAAATTAAAAACAGCATTATCAATATCAGAAAAACAACCAAATGAAGATCGACCAAAATCAGTTAAAATATCTACTGATGTTGTTGATATTTCACTACATGAAAAGAATCGTGATAATAAAGAGCATGCATTAAATGGTACAGCTGAATCAGCTGAAGTACCAGATGACAATGACGTTGTACCTAATGAAAGTAAACATAAATGTAAGTAAAAAAACAGAAAAAAAAAGTTTTCTTCTCAAAAACATAATTTCTATTTTCTATTTTAGCGGTTCTTCAATCGAAATTAACTAATCTTGCTTTATACATTGGTTATATTGGTGAGTGTTTTTATTTTTGAATTCAAATTTATTACTGTTTGCTTTGGAATAGGTATGTCTGCTGCTGCTTTGACATTGATTTGTTTAATTGTTCGTTATTGTATCACAACTTATCTTATTAACAAACAAAAACCGTCAGCAGTTGATATTGGCTATTTCATTTCGTTTCTTATTCAGGGTATTACTGTCGTTGTTGTTTCAGTTCCAGAAGGTAATATTTTGTTTATGCTTACATGTAATAAAGCAAATAATCTTCTATGCTCTCTTTTTTAATAAATAGGTCTTCCATTGGCTGTAACCCTTGCTCTTGCCTATGCTGTTCGAGTTAGTAAAACGGAAATACTGTCTGAAGTAAATCTAATTCTTATCTGAAATATTTTAGAAAATGATGACAGACAATAATCTTGTTCGACATTTGGATGCTTGTGAAACAATGGGAAATGCATCAACAATATGTTCAGATAAAACAGGAACTTTGACAACAAACCGTATGACGGTTGTGCAATCTTTTGTCACTGGTAGGTCAGTATTGGGTCTTCGGTGAAGTTTTGATAATTTCAAGACCCATTCGTTTATTATTATGTTCGTTTACTTAATTTATATTTCTACTAGGTAAACTAAGTGAACAATTACCACCATCAGAAGAAGTAAATCAAGAATTATTACCATTACTTTTTGAAGCTATATCGGTTAATACAAATTATACATCGAAAATCGAGGTTAGAATAACACTTTTGTTTTTTTATTACCTACTCATCAATGCAATACTATCTATACATATAGGCATCAAAACCCGAAGAGGGTGGTTTACCAAAACAAATTGGTAATAAAACCGAATGTGCTTTATTAGATTTAGTACAAAGGTGGGGTGGATCGTATGATCAAATTCGTCAAGATATTCCCGAAGAAAAACTAGTTAAAGTATATACATTTAATTCTGCACGTAAAATGATGAGTACAATTATTCAACGTAATGATGGTTTTCGAGTTTACACAAAAGGTGCATCCGAAATGGTTTTAACGAAGTAAACAAAAACGAATATTTTACATCATTTTAACAATAAAAATCTTTTTTTTCGTTGTTTTTCATTAGATGTAAATCAATTCTTGCTGAAAATAATCAATTAAAACAATTAAATGATGCTGAAAAAAATCGTTTAACACATGATGTTATTGAAGCAATGGCTAGCAATGGTCTAAGAACGATTTGTGTTGCTTATAAACATCTCGGAAAGGAGGTACAAGATTGGGATGATGATGATAAAATAATTAATGATTTAACTTGTATTGCGATTGTTGGTATTGAAGATCCAGTTCGAAAAGAAGTAAGTTAATCATTTTGAAAATAAAATAAATCATCGATCAATGCGCCTATGTATATATTTATTTTCGTTGTTAGGTGCCAGACGCTATTGAAAAATGTCAACGCGCAGGTGTTATTGTTCGTATGGTAACAGGTGATAATATTATGACAGCTCGCTCAATAGCAACAAAATGTGGTATAATCAAACCGAATGATGACTTTCTTGTACTTGAAGGCAAAGAATTTAATAAACGTATCCGAGATGCATCTGGAAAAGTTAGAAAAAAATTGAAATCCAATGAGTATCTTTCGTTAAATTTTGCAATTTGAATATTTAGATTTCACAAAAGAAACTTGATGAAGTTTGGCCAAACTTACGTGTTTTAGCACGTTCATCACCACAAGATAAATATAATTTAGTTAATGGTATTGTTGAAAGTTATGCTACAGAACATCGTGAAGTTGTTGCTGTTACGGGTGATGGTACAAATGATGGACCAGCACTTAAACGTGCTGATGTTGGTTTTGCCATGGTAAATAAAAAACTGAAATTTTCTTTTGATCGATTCATTTATTTATTTTCTTCGTCTAAAGGGTATTCAAGGAACAGATGTTGCCAAACAAGCATCCGATATTATTTTAACTGATGATAATTTTTCATCTATCGTTAAAGCAATGATGTGGGGAAGAAATGTTTATGATTGTATTGCAAAATTTCTTCAATTTCAATTAACAGCTAATTTATCAGCTGGTTTCATTTCAGTTGTATCAGCCGCAGCTATTAGTGTACGATAAATACTTATACATATATATATATATATATATATATATATCATTTAAAACATTTATTTCTATCATTGTTAATTACTTTTTTCTCTCTATAGAGTGTTCCATTACGAGCTGTTCAAATGCTTTGGGTTAATCTTGTCATGGATACATTAGCTTCACTTGCTCTTGCCACTGAACCGCCAACAGAAGATTTGTTAAATAGAAAACCATATGGGCGAACAAAATCAATTATATCACCACTCATGCTAAGAAATATTTTTGGACAATCACTCTATCAACTCGCTGTTATGTTTACTATCCTTTATGCTGGACAATACTTTTTAGGTGTTGAATCAACGGTTCAGAAAATTCAGCATGATCCACATGTTGCAAAACAATTAAGTACTCAATTTACATTAGTATTTAATGCGTTTGTACTAATGACTTTATTCAATGAAATTAACTCGAGAAAATTACATGGAGAAAGAAACGTATTCAAAGGAATATTTCGAAATCCATTTTTTTACGGTATTTGGATCTTCTGTTTTGCTGCACAAGTAATTATATATAGAAGAAAAAAAAATAAAAATCATAATAATCTATCTATTTTGTTTTAGATTGTAATTGTAACATTTGGTGGTCGAGTGTTTAGTTGTGCACAATTGGATATTTATCAATGGGGATGGAGTTTACTTTTTGGTATTGGATCACTTATATGGCAACAGGTTTGTTGTTTGATGAAAATAAAAGAAAAATTTAATTTCCTTAAATCTAGATTATATTATGTATTCCAATTAAACCATTTGCAGTTTGCTTTTCGGCAGCTTATCGTATTTGTTGTCCATGTTGTTACAAAAAACAAGCAAGAAAACTTGCTGAAGAAGAAGCCTTTAGAAAATCTGTTGATGCCGATCCAAATGCACGACCATCAAGACCAAGTGATGTTGATTATGTTCCATTTAGTACAATTGGTCAATTAACAACCGCTACTGTTGTTACTGAACCACCACCAGCTATTGCTAAATTTATGCTTCGTAAAAGTGTTGATCGACTTAACTCAGAGGTTCGAATTAATTGCCTGTTTTCAATTTTTCCTATTAAAAATATGATCTATTTTTAGTTTCGTGTTATTAATGAATTTCGAACACGACTTGAAGAAATTAAAGACAAGAGACACGAAGAAGCTGTTGAATACAAACGTTTCAGTCGAGTCAATATCCTTGAGGAATAAACGTGAATGAGTCTGACGCAACCTGTTCACTTCTTTAATTCTTTCTTTTTTTAGTTCTTTTTTTTTTCTTTTAATTTCTTTTACTTTATTTGTGCTCTTTGTATTGTGTTAACATGCTGTGCGCTTTCACAACCGGCAAACAACAAATGAACAAAAACAGAAATACCGGAACCTTTTTTTCTCTTCTCCTTCTATTTTATATTCTTCCGATGTGTGGTCTGTGTATGTTATTATCATTTTGTTCGACATTAATCTATCTCTAAATGAATCGACAATTACATTGAGAAATAAATTAGGCTTTATTTGTTCATTTATATATGAAATTTATTGATTGATGAGAATTATTTTAACTGAAGAATAGTTTCATAAAACGAATTCAGGTTAGTTTTCACTAGCGAAAATTATATGAATTTATTAATTCGAAGTGATAATTTCAAGGGTATATTTTCCTTTTAAAATTTTACTGAACAAGAGTTAATCACATATTGTTAATAATTATTGATAGGACTGTGCAAAGAGAATATTATATGATACAATTCGATGGAGTCATTAGATGATTGATATCTGAGAAATTCTTTGTATTATTATTATAATTCAATGCATAACACTTAGAGCCCTGTTGATAATGATTGCGCTCCATCTTTATAATTATTATCTCTGCATGATGTGTCTCAAGAAAGCTTCATATAATATGAATATGGAAAAACATGCGTTTACTATTTCGGGTATAAGATGAACTAGTTCAAAAATAATCTTATCTCTCTTCCGGTTACTATACGTATGACTTAACCCTATTCAAAGTTATCTATTTCAAGACGAATTATAAATTCTTTTCTATTCATTTCCGCTTAGTATTGGCAATCATTAGTCGTAAATTTAATCGCTAAATATTTTCTCTTCAAGTAGGCAACGCTTCTATGATTCAATTATATCTAATATAGATATGGATTTATTATAGCATGCATTAGCAAAGTCATTAGCATCTTGATAGTGACAATGATGAAAACTTTTATCATCTAGACCAACGGCTTAAAGTGTCGTGTTTTTATTCATTTCTCCATTCTTTATAATCGGCATATTCCGCGTCTTTTTTTACATTGTAATTCCAATGTTGCAAGATGAATGGCTGTCTTGTCATTTATCCTGTTCTTGTCAAAAGAAGAAAACCGAATACCATTATGTTTATGTACTGTCGGATATAAGTTAGTTTGATTTCTATGAGAAAGTGTATAGGCACTGACTTTAAATTGATATTTATCTTTTAACTGATTATGACTCTGTTCGCAAAAGTCTTGTTTCATTGAAGTATTTGTTTTAATTTTCGAGAACCGAAATATATTCACTAATCAACTTTTTATGAATAGATTCAAATGACATATTTCTAAGCTAGATATTAATTATACAAAAGAAAAGAAACCTTGACTCGCTTGATGCATGCAAAGACCAGTTAACAATTTAGAAACTTCATACGATATAAATCATAAGAAAGCTTTAAGAATTTATCTTAGATATAGGAAATAAATCAAAATAAAATTTTATAAAAACAAATTTTCATATTTTCTCTGAATTTTAATAAATAGTTGAAATAAAGAACCAGATAAGCAATGCTTCATACTAAAAATGATCTTTCTCAACGTTCATTAATATTCGCCAAATCAAGATAAAAGATAAATCTAGTTTCCACTATTTATCAATCTAATCAGCATCGCCATTTTACTCATATATGATATTCTGAATAATAAGTGCGTAATAATCATACATACATCCACACCCATATATGTCAATAACAACAACAACAACAAGTCTAAATATTTCATCGGAAACGCATTCCAACGATAAAAGCACAAAGAAAACTTGATCCAGCTTACATTGATGGCGTGTCCTTTTCTCAAAACGTTTTTGTATCATAGTATTACCCTTGATCGATAACGGCTGACCTCGGATTGGAAGTTTTTGAAAATGTAGGAATTAGCACAGGATCAAACTTTTTAAAAATACAGGAAAAGGTGTAAAAAATCAGAAAAAAATAGGATATTGAAAATTCGTTGTTTAGATTCGAATTAAACGTTGTTTTAAATTTTTCCTGCATCAACTTAACATATGCACGAAATTTTTGTCAATATTTCATTTTAATTCTTTCTTAAATTAAATTAAATGAGTCAGACACAATTAAATTCAATCGAAATATGTTTATTTACATATTAATAAACTAATNTTACATGTGATAAACATGCGCAAAAAAACCGCCTGTTTACCGCGGTTTTACCGGTCCGGTTACCGGCTCCCATTACCGCAGAACGGATAAATACCGCGGTTTACCGCAAAAATTGATCCGGTATTCGCAACATGGGTATTTATAAAGACTATTTTACTTTGTTTGAATATCTTTACTTAAAATAGTCAGTTATTTTCATTTAGCCCGTTCGATAGTGTGAAAAGAAATTGTAAATAAAATAGAGTCCCCGTAAAAAGTTCTAAGAATACAAAAGAATCAATAATTATCGAACAGATTTGTTTAAAAAACACGAAAATTATACTAAAACAAGAGCTTTTTTAGCAATTTTCTACTTTTTTCATTTTTATAGGAAATACAGGAAAATTCATCGAAATATAGGAGAAAAAATAGGAATTTTTAAATATAGAAAATATAGGACGAATCCGAGGCCAGGTTAATAACGGCAACTAATAGGTGACTGAAAAATGAACATTATTTTCCATGTGTTTCATTACGACGAAACGGTGGCGCAGTTACGGGTAGTTACGGTGAAAAAATCCCAGTTACGCGTAACTGCGTCTAAGTTTTTCGCAATTATGGGTCACAGTGTCGTCGCAATTGGTACAAAAGATGACATAGATTAAGTTTTCATTTTATTTGTATCCCAGGAGATTCATTCCGACCTACGTATCTTCAAAGAAACGACCGGATCCGGTATCGGATCACACCGGAATCCGACGAGTTCCACAGTAAAACCGGCCGGAACCGATCCGTATTACTCCGGATTCCTAACTAACGGTTTCCGGCCCGGATTACGCCGGAAAAGGATCCGATCATAGACAAACGCCGGAACAGAAAGACTTCTGCGACATTCCACCGGATTCCGTCGGATTCCTGTGCAGCTCAACCAAGATTCATCTAGATTGTATAGAGATTTACTTCTCCCAAACATCTCTTTGATTACCAATGCATCCACAACAGATTTTCCCGGATTATAAAAACATCCACTATTGGGTTTTCCGGATAACTAGTTCATTCTCATTAAGATTATGTGGATTAAACAAAAATCCATATTATGATTTTGAGGATTACAGAATCAACCACATCAGGATTATCTCGATTGAAAAGTAAGCCACATCAGGATTATCTCGATTGAAAAATAATCCACATCACGATTAGGTACAACACGCCAATCATCTAGGAACCTCACTTCAGACACCTAACATCCCCCTAGGAAGCTCACTTCAAACACCTAGCATCATTCCTAGGATCCTCACTTCAAACACAGAGGATCATTCCTAGGTACAACACACAAATCGTCTAAGATCTTTCCTAGATACCACACACCAATCAACTAGGATCTTTCCTAGATACAACACACAAATCATCTAGGATCGTTCCTAGGTACAACACACCAATCATCTAGGATCTTCCCTGGGTACAATACACCAATCCAGCTTAAATCATTCCTACACACTTCGCACCGATCACTTAGGACCATTCCTAGGTCGTCCCCAGGGATCGGTTATCACCCTTTCTAATCAATAATATAGATTATCTAGGATCAGTCCTACCACTGTAATGTGAATCGTTTAGGGCCCATCCTCCAAAGTAACAAAAAAACTAAGCCAAACATTCAACGCATCTCTACACAACAACAAAAACTAACTCTTTATGTTTATAAATATGTTTATATAATTTTTCTCAACACAAAACACTGAGTGGCATCTGACAGTATTCCAAATGGACGATTTCCAAGGATTACTAAAGATTATTATGGATTACTAAGAATTACCAAAGATCGGTAAAAGATTCTTAGGAAATTCAATCTATTACTTCGAATTTTTCTCGCAAAAAGTACGTGGAGCAGCAGTTTATATTATTGACCGTGTGGAAAAGATGTTGGTGTTTCTGATGTCCCTAGTAGAAGCAATCGCAATCTGAATAAGGACTCTTCAAATTAAGCACTGCTCTCTCGTCATCATCTCTTTTCCATCGCCTGCACGAAAATAAAAAAT